TCCCTCCAGAGAGCCCTACGTACAGCTGCACATACCGTATGTACAGAGCTCCCTGTGTTCCTCATTTAGAATTGTTTCCATTGGATCCCTATACAAGACAACATGAAACATCAATCGAGCTATCCATGACCGTTTGCTCTGCCTTGTAAAGAGGGAATTGAGCTTGTAGAACGGCTTGAGGTGACGTTATAATGAATTTTGTCTACAAACGAATTAGCAGTATCTCTTAAGACTTGCATAATAATTGTATTGCTAATTTACTATCGAAATGCATTTCGTGAGGGGATTTTGGACCGTTGTCTTCCAGTCTACTAATGAGGTTTGTCTTGTAATCGATGTCGTACTAACGAGAGTAGACCTGTATCCGGACAAGAGTGCATACCTGGGAGTAGTAAATTGTTTCTAATTGTTTCTATTTTACTACTACCATACTACTCCCTTCCACAAAGCAAGAGCAGCACGTAACCGTGCATCCAGGGGTTGTGTAGTCTTGCACTATAGATAAAGGACTCTTGGATGTCCATGTGCACTGATGTATGTGTACTTGTACAGCAAAGCAAAAAAAGTGACAGCCTGTTGTCGTATTGACAGGGCTAGGGCCCGGAATAATTATCATGATTATACAGTGGTCCCGTCAGGCGAAAAAGCACGTCATCGTACATTTGAGATCAGCGGGAAGAAGATGACGACGTCCACTAATTTAGTATCTGTGCACACCAATCTGCTGTGTGTGTGACTCTAGCTCTGTGTGTCAGCTATGATATCATCTTCTGTGGTTCCATGCCTAGCATGCATGTACCAGATGTACGTCTGAATCATTCTGCAAAGTTTGAATGACGTAGGTTGAGCGATCGCTCCGCGAAATATACTTTTTGAAATTCTCTTCATAGTATATCTTCCACCATTGAAATTTCGAATTTCTTCAAAAAAAGTGCTGAGAGGGGTGGCTTGCAACCTCGATATGGCTTGTTCCAGGCATGCTTTGGAGCCATCTTCTGTTGAAGTAGTGGCGGGGATCTGCCCTGCAACTGCTACAACAAAAAATGATTCGATCTGAGAAAGGGTGAGACCGCGAATCTCGGTTGAATATTGAGTATTTCAAGCCTTTTCACGACGAAGATGAAGTTCTTTTTGAAGATGGACGTCGCGGCAAACGACATGGTGTCCGACGTCTGGCGTCTGGTGAAGCCAGGGATCATTTGTCCAGTCAGGTCGGCAGCCTAACCGTCGGTAAGCTTGTGTTTGGATCCCGTTCTGCTCGATGTGGTAGATCACAAACAATTTGATATCGCACAAATTGATCTCAGCATCGTGCGTACGGTATTTTATATTCAGAAAAGCCCAAAGTGTCTCTGTGTGGCCGTCCTATGCCACGAGAAACTCCAATCAGGCTCCTATGTCCTCTGCCTTCATGATTGAATGTCCACTTCGTTTGAACAACGAACACAACAATCGAGGACGGCTTTGCAATCAAAAATACAGCTATACTGGAGCTGAAAAAAAGAAGAAAAAAACGTGCTCAGGATGAGACTCGAGTACACGCATACTCTCCCAGCAGGTGAAACGCAAATTTTTGTGAAAAATGCGTGACGCCGACTGACCAGTAATTTCGCCTGACGCTCTATAATCCGGCACCATTTGTGCCACGAAAATCTGCTGGATTAGGGAGGGTGCTGGATTAACAAATCTGATTTACTGCTGCAATGTACATGAAGAGGACATTTTGGCTACTGACAATTGTGCTGGTTTATCGAGGGTGCTGGATTATAAAGTGCCGGATTAGAGAGGGACGACTGTACTAGTGTAGTAGCTGGCCCTCGGAGACAATTTCACACACTCAAATATAGCACTCACTTTGTGGTTTCACGAATACTCGTTAGGACAGAATTATTAGTTACACACTCGGCAAGTAAAGATAAGAAATGAAAGAGCACAAGAAAAGAACAATGCAAGAAGACAAAGCACACGGCGAGCGGCAGCCATGTTTTCAGGTCATCAACCATGTACCAATCAGCAATCTATATAAACCGGTCGCCGACGAAATTCTAGAACATTAGTATAATTAACCAATCACAGTTCACAACAGACAGTCATACGGGTAAAGTGGGGAAATACGGGTTTAGCCATACACGACTCATACATTACTCACCAGTCACGAGCGACTCACGGAAAGGGTAATAACATGCAGATACAAAATACGCAAAGAGAGAAAAATGTAACTAACTGCCCATCTTGGGGTTTGAACCTAGGAATCTGTATCAACACAAGCTCTACAAATAGGTACTCTTTTACTGCGAAAAATATACTTTATATCAAAATGCAACTCCTACACTAGTACGCTTGGGCGAGGTTGTCTTTGTGCATTTCAAGTATTGTAGTTCTAACTGTTCTATACTCTGTACCGCTTACTGATACCAAGAGTATTATTATACCCCCCCCCCCCCATACTCTTGCTGGCTCATGCACTGTAAAGTACCGTCAGAGCGCCCCACTATCTCGTCCTTTCGTGGTCGTCTTGTGGAGGTGGTTTCCTGTCCAAGAGTACATGTGCTCTTGGTATTACGACAGGGACCTTTTACACACAGTCATTGCACGTTGTGCAGTCAATCCGCACCCAGTTTACCTTCCAGCTTATGCGAGCTCCACATAAAAACATGCCAAGTGTGACGGTACAAAAAGCGTTCTCACACCATACAAACTTAGTAGCATACTGCCATACCATTTTCTTCCCGTGGCTGTAAAATCAAGGTGGGGTGCTCTCGCGGTGCTTTACGGTATTGTCCATCCATAAAAATGTCATCTCTCAGGCCCTGCAGCCTGGGCCAGATTCCAATCCGATGTAGACCAAAAAAACTAGCCCGGAAATTGTAAAAGTGTAAAAATTACAGCAAAAGTGAACTGACACACGTACCCCATTCCCGGGGGAAAACACGTATCGCTTGCCCGCACAGCTGTTTGTTGGTGGTGAGGTCCTGCTATCGCAAGAGGGCACCACCCAGGGCGATCCACTCGCTATGCCTATGTACGCCATTGGCACCGTCCCCCTCATAGAGGCAGCAACGCCACACAGTCCTGGTATGTAGACGACTGGTCAGCTGGTGGCAACTTGAACTCGCAAAGGTGAAGAATTGGTGGGATGTACTGAAAGACAACTTGCCAAGGGTCCCCAATATGGCTACGTTACCAACGCAGCTAAATCGGTAGATCTACTGCTTGTCAAGCCACAGTTTCTGGAGAGGCAACCCAGCTCTTTCGCGATACTAATGTTGTCATCAGGACGAACGGGTTCCGGCATCTTGGTGCCAGCAATTGGCAACCCTGTTTTTTGCCAGGAGTACGTAGGCGGGAAGGTGGATGAATGGTGTCAGCAGCTCCTAGTCCTGGCAGCATATGCAACATCCCAAGCAGCTTATGCTGCGTTCGTGTTCGGGCTGAAGCATCGCTGGAGTTTCCTAGCCCGGACTATGGATCTCCCTGCAGATGCCGCCTACCAGCCACTGGAGGACGTCATTTGTCAATTCCTCATCCCAGCTATGACAGGCAGGAATCCACCAGGAAGTTCTGAGAGAGCTATCCTTGCTCTCCCCTGTCGGCTTGGTGGGCTGGGCCTCATCGACCCTGCTCTGCAAACAGTATGGCCAGTCTGCGAAGATCACCGAATGCCTTGTTTCAAGGATCCTGGAACAACACTGGTCCATCGACGGTGTAGCGGCAGCAACCAGAAGAGCTAAATCAGACACAAGGACAGTGACTCGCCAGCTAGAAGCAGATAACGCAGCCAGCATCTACCAACAGCTTGACGCAGATTCGAAATGCGTCATCGACTTGGCATCGGAGAAGGGAGCCTCCAGTTGGTTAACGTGTTCGCCTTTAAAACGCCATGGCTTCCGTCTCCACAAGACAGCCTTCCATGATGGGCTCTGCTTGCGTTTTGGCTGGATTCCGGAGCGTATGCCGAGTCATTGTTCCTGTAGCGAGGTCTTCAACATCGAGCACGCACTATCATGTTCTCTTGGTGGATTCCCAGCACAATGAGGTGAAGGACATCACTGCCCACATGCTACGAGGAGTTGCCCATGATGTGGCGGTGGAACCTGATCTTCAGCCGCTAACGGGCGAGCACTTTGTACACCGCTTAAACCGAAACCCCGCCTCTCCGGCGTCCATCTATGCCAAGCACGAGAGAGAAAAGTGCAGATGCTATGAGGTCATGATCATGTCCTGGCACGTGGAGCATGCATCGTTTGTGCCCGTCGTCCTCAGCTGCACTAGTGGGCAAGGCTGCAGCTGCAGCTGCCCTCTATCGCAGGATTGCTTCCCTCGCCGTCTTCGGAGAAATCCAGAGAGCCTTTCTCTTCTACCCTTTGTCTTCTCCGTGCTGCTGCAAAGCTGAGTTTTGCCCTCATCAGTTCAACAATGGTTAACGGCAGCCATACGTGGTCATCGATGCCCTACTGCCATCGTCCAGCACCGCTCAGCCGACCTGGTCGTGGACTTTGGTGCAAATTTAGCGCTATGTCTGTGGCTTATGATTTTTACTATTTTCTTCTGTTTGTATTTAGCGCTTTCGGGTATTATCATTTTCTTAGGCCTGTGGTGGGGATTGCCCTATCAAAAATTTGATAATATTAATAATAATTTCTTCTTTTAGCATCAAGTTATTATTTTGTTGTTCGGGCTAGGGTTCCCTGTAACAAGACGGCAACGTCTGTGTGGCCTTCCCTATCAAAATAATAAATTCTACTACATACTACTACCACTACCAAGAGTATCCTCTTGCTACTACTGTACTACTACTAGCTCCGCCTTCTCCGGCTGAACGTAGATCTACGACTCGTAGGTCTACTGGGCGAAACCAGGGAGTCGTAAAATTTTACGACTCCCTGGGCGAAACTGAACGGACGTCGCGGTACGACGCTGTCGAAAAAAAAAGTTACCTGGCCGGGGAAAAAACATTAATTTTGTTTTTGAAAAGTCATCGCTCTGTCCCATTATTTATGCCAATTATTATTTACATGGTCAAAAGCAAGACCATCGAAGTATCATTCTGTTTCTGACTGAGTCTGTAGTACTAGTAGTAACACACCGCGTGCCGGGCGGCTTCTGATATCGAATCTCTTTCATTATTTTCTGCGTAGACTATTGGCCTGATTTATTCTGCGAAATAAGTGACTGTAGACAGTGTACAGTGTACAGTAGTGCCAACAAGTTTCTTTTTGATCTGAAACTAAAGAGTGAAGTCATAATGGAGAAACCAGACATTGTCGTCGTTGGCTCGTGCATGAAGGATCTTGTTTGGTAAGTGTCATCAAGAGTTCCCTGTCGATTCAACGCTCACGCTTCCAGGTCCCGCGGCCCGATACATGTACCAGCGTTTGCATCCTTGAATTGCATGAATTGATAAAAAATTATTGGCATTATTTTACAATACTGTCAATAGTTTGTTGCGGCCTTTTTTCTGTATGGGTGAGGGGTGGATAAGTCCAAAACTATACAGAGGGAAGAGAATGTACAAAATAATACACCTTGTATCACTACGTGTGAGACACATTGTCCGGCACTGTGCTTGGCCTCTGCATATTGGTAATGAAAATATACTGGCATATCCGTCGCAGCGTGAGCAACTTTTAAAGAGATGAAATACCGTATTTCCTCGATTAATAGACCCGGTCTTTTGTTTTTTGAAGAGGGTTGGACCCCCGGTCTCTTATTTGGGCATGGTCCATTATTTGAGCACGGTCCAATTTTGTAGTGGCTAGTGCTTTCGTGGTGGATCAAAAAAAGGACGCGATTTTAGGTTGCGCAACTACAATTTTGTAGTGGCTAGTGCTTTCTTTCATTATTTGAGCATGGTCCACTATATTTTCATCGGCACATCGCTGGAAATGGTGGATTTTTAACACGTCATAATATTATGTTATTATATATAATAACAATCGACGAGGAGACAATAGTCGTAAAATGGCAATAAATAAGATAAATTGTGCACTCATAACAACAGCAAAAATGAAGAAAGTCAAGTTCCATAACGTTCCATACACGCACCATTACATTCATTCACACAGTATCACATTCATCTGCCACTACCTTTCTCACATACACTATATTCACATATTGCAAAGGTGCAAACTTCGCTTTTTGTACTTGTTAGCTGCTGTATTTCTACCTGAAACCATATTAGCTACATGTATATAAGTGTGTGTTTTAGTTATTACATTTTTATGTGACGGCGTTCCACTGATGACAGTCACAAGAAAACGTTATGGAACTTGACTTTCTTCATTTTTGCTGTTGTTATGAGTGCACAATTTATCTTATTTATTGCCATATATAATAACAATGATAACAATGAATAATGTTATTATATTAATATTATGACGTGTTAAAAATCCACCATTTCCAGCGATGTGCCGATGAAAATATAGTGGACCATGCTCAAATAATGAAAGAAAGCACTAGCCACTACAAAATTGTAGTTGCGCAACCTAAAATCGCGTCCTTTTTTTGATCCACCACGTGCTTTCTTAGTGTGCATGCGCAAAGCGATGAACTCAAATAAGAGACCGGGTCTCTTATTCGGGCATGGTCGACTATTTGTCCGTGAGGCCTCTAGGAGGGTCTACTGTTTGAGCATGGTCCATTAATCGAGGAAATACGGTAAGTGAATAGATCCGCACGCGGAACCACACAGTTCCAGTGAACCCCATTCTCTCTTTATTTTTGAAGCACCCTAATCTGTCCCTGCGGGAATTTGCGGAAAAAACGCTCGAAGACTTGTGCAAGAAATTGCAGCAGAAAACAACAAAAAATGCGACGAAAAGTGCGGAATGATGCAGAACTTGCCAGGAATTCTTTAGGCACCCAAGATGGCAGAGGTCGCATCTATTCACAAAGGAGACAGATGAATCCAGGGACATACCACCCTGGGGCCTAATTATTACAACTCCAGTGGAGAGGGCAACTTTGTCTAATGGTTGATGTTTATTTAGAACAAAGAGGAAGAAATGTTTCATGCGCATGCGTATGTAGTGAGGGAGCTGACGTCATGCAGCGAGGTCGCTACAATTCGTGGTATTATTTGCAGAAAATTGCGGATTTGGGTCAAATCACGAAATTTGTTGCATCGTATATCTACTCGGGAGTAGTACGAGTCGTACTGTGCAAATAACCTACAGGATATGGAAAGCACTGTGTGAAAAGTGCATTAAAATGTGAGATACAGTGCAGAAAACAACAAAAACGCGGGAAATCGCGGATTTTGCTGAAAATAGCGGGTTTGGGCCAAATCGCGAAATTTGTTACATCCGTGGAATCGTGATTTCCTGGAGGGACAGCCTAATCGAAAACGTTCCAGCACCCTTTAGAACGTGTGTGTGGGTGTGGGTGTGGATGTGGGTGTGTGTGCATGGTGTGGATGTGGGTGGGTGTGGGGGGGGGGGGGGTGCAAAGTGTAGACTTCACCATCGTATCTTTATGACACCTAGCTTCAACACATCTCCGTAGCGCTAACCGACAGCCTTCCAACTTTGGAAGGTTCAAGGTTATGGAAATACCAAAGAGAGGAAGGCAAGCGCAACGAAAACGAGCATAAGCTTCAGTCCCAACGAAACAAAGAATGTCGATTGTTACTGGACGATGACGAGACCAGTACGATATTTGACAAAGCGGTCTAACTACAATTCGAAGCAGCAAAGCAGCACACCACCCAACTTGGGTGGGTCATAAATATCAAAGATAAGTAAAGAAAGGGGAAGCTTTGCGAAAACGAATTGTACAAGCCGAAAGCCAAACTCCTACAGTACTCCTCATGCATGGCATTGTGATGGACAAGTTGACTACAAAACAAGTTGTTTCACACGACGTACATTTCGTCGTATGGTTCGTGACGGCTCATCAGGTGTGCAATTTGAAACTCGGATGTTGAGCCATAAATAAATGTGGAAAGGAAAAGGACATACGAGTTAAGAGTAACTCTCCATCACTGTAACTGGATACTATATACAGTCAGTGCTCGTTTTCGTTGCGCTTGCCTTCCCCTCTTTGGTATTTCCATAACCTTGAACCTTCCAAGTTGGAAGGCTGTCGGTTAGCGCTACGGAGATGTGTTGAAGCTAGGTGTCAGGACGTCGAATGTCTCAGTACTCTAGTCAGTTTTGTGCCTAGTTATTGCACTTTCTGACTGTATATAGTATCCAGTTACAGTGATGGAGAGTTACTCTTAACTCGTATCCAAAAACGAAATTGATTTTTCTCATGGGCTTTTGTTGCCTGTATTACTACTAGCAAACTTTACCAGATAATTTTGGATTTGAGACGTTCTATGCAAAGTTATCCCTTTCTGAAAGTGCGTTTGGGGTCAATTGACCCCACCTGGTAGTCTGCGACCTGGTCCATTTGTCAACAGGCAGTGTGGCAATGTTGCTTTGCCTATGCTTTCCGTGTAGTTACGTATCAAGCTTCCCTGCTCCTGGAGAGACTGTGTCATGTCACAAGTTTGAAACAGGCTTTGGTGGCAAAGGGGCAAACCAGTGTGTCATGGCAGCTAAACTCGGAGCTACAGCGGTCATGGTTGCCAAGGTAATGGCTCCATTGAGTAGACATGACTGTATGTTGAGGCATGTGACGTATGCTGTACTGGTGTAAGGAGAGTCACCCGGAACATTAAAATCAAATGCTATGTAGAATGTAGATTCTTCAAAGAACTGTGCATGTGGACTAAAAGGTGCTTATTGTCTAGTTACAGTGGTGGACAGTTACTTCATAACTCGTATCCATGTGTCCTCTTGTGTTTTACATTAAATTTATTATTGGCTCAGTATCCGAGTTCAAAAAGGTCTTCAATTTTTCTTTGCAATGTACATGTAGGTCGGTGATGATGATATTGGAACCGCCACTCTGGAGAACCTTTCTGCACACAACATCTGTACTGGTAAGTTTGTTGTTGGATGTGGGTACTGGTTGGCAATGAGCCTGACTTCAGCAGTGTTGCACATGCTCATTACCATGATTAAAGGGGAAGTCCGGTGAATTTTTTTAATTTCAGGGTCGGTAGAGTTTCGGGCGCTGAGTCGAATGGTGTTGGTCCCACGTGTCTCCGACAAAGCGTTCTCGAGATATTTCCGTTTGAAAAACTGAGTTTCGGGGGCTGCGCCATGACGTCATGCGGCCGCGCCACACCCTCCGCAACGTCATAGCGTGCAGCTAGGTCAAAAGGAGTGCGTGGAAGCAATAGTGTCAGTGCTATTTCAAGTGATTTGGCGACCGATAGTAGGTGGTGCAAGCGACCCCGAAGACGTAACTCCTTGTGAGAGTGAGGATGCAGTCATGGCTGACCTTCATGAGTTCGGTCTGGGGCTGAGAACCTCGGTATTGAGCTGAAGAAATGGCCGCGCGGGCCGGTCAAGAGTGAGCGCTACTGAGTTTCCGACTGATGAAGAAGCAGCAGCTATTGCAGACGAGGCTGATATACCTAATTATCAGATCGCTGGAGAGCAGAGTCGCGAAAATGGAGAAGAGTGATGCGAGTGCTCTAAATGTTGTTCCATACCGATTCGCTTAGACTCCAGTAGCCTGCCACATGGTGATGTTTTGTTGCGAACTAAGTACTTGGCATATTTCGGACTACTCAATTGGAGAACAGTGCAGGCTCTTTGAACCACTGGCACGACTCTTCTCTCGCAACACTACGGGATCTGAAAGTTCTAGGTCCGGAAGCTGTTCGCTGTTTTGTCACTTGTCACGGTTGTGCACTCATCGCTGTAGCATAAAATATTGAGGTGGGAGCGGAAAACTACAATTTTCTTTCTCAATGCGCAACCACCGGCACCGGCAAGGAGAAACGCACGTTCTCTGACTACATGACTGTACGCCTGATACGAGTGTAGTACATGACAAGTCTGTGTGTTGACTAGTTTTCTGAGTCTTGTGACTCGAGTCTTGTAGCTACCCGTACCCCAGCACGGCAGTGCGGGAGTAGTTCCGTGTGTGATGAGTTTGTTGACTACACTACAGCTAGCATGCACGCAGCGCATTGCAGCCGTAGAGGTCCGTAGATATAGAGGCCAGTGCATGCTGACGGAAAAAGTCCAACTCGGAAACGGCTGAAATACGATAACCTCGAGGTTTACCAAGCTGAAAATCACAGGGTACGTAGTGTTTGTAACACTGAATCGAATGGTCTTGGCCCGAAGAAGCTGCGACACACGGTTCCCCAATCGAACGCGCTCCGAATATGGCCATTTTGTACACAACTAGATGGTGTGGCTACCTGGCTGCACGCTGTGACGTCATCACCTGGATCTGGGTGATGCGCGCTCAAATTCGCACCTGTTCGATTGGGCGTATCTGACGAACCATAGGCCGCAGCCTCCTCGGACAAAGACCATTCGACTCAGCGCCCCGAACTCTACGGACTGTGAAATTTAAATTTTTCACCGGACTTCCCCTTTAACTATGTATGATTAGGGATGCCTAGGCGATGTAGCATGGGGAATACTGTAGGACATGTTTTTGAACGGGTCGCAAAGTTAACGACCGTCCAAAATTCACAGGTTAGGAGATGATGCGCTAACGATCTTGTAGTCTTCAGGCATAGCCGCACTTAGCACATTCGAGGCATTACAGCCTCAACAGAACCTATTAAACAAAGAAATGGTTCTAGTTAAAACATTAGATTTACTTCCTCGTTTGATTTACGTGTCTTACAGGTGTGCATAAGTTGACAATGATTCTGTGCATGGGCCTGGTCACCATTCATGGTACATGTAGTAACTGATAGGCATAGCTGTGCTGCTCTGCGACTCACCTGCACACTGTAGCTGAGTACAACCGAGGGCACATGAAAACCAGAGTATGCAGGTCAAGTTGGTGGCTACTACAGTAAATTCCTGGACTACGTCATTTCAACGGTGCGGTGCGTGCAAGCGGGATCCAAGCAGGTCTTCTGCTGTGCATTTGCAGCCCGGTTGTACGCACTATGCAACTTAACACGATTCATTTACAGCAATTGCTAGTATGATGTGGTCCAGAAATTCCGCCGTGGCAGACCCGATATGAAAGCTGGTTTCGTTGTGCTCTTTGTACATGTACAACTACAGATATTTGTTGCATATCCTCTATGTTAATCCCTGGTCATCCGCCCATCAGCCCATTTCAGTGCCATCTGAATTGAGCATGGTATAGCTACATAATACATTACTGTTCTGGCTTTCCTCTATCTTCTGTTCTTCTCCACAGATCACGTCCAGCGTGTGACTGGGATTGCCTCAGGCGTTGCATCTATTGCTGTCAACCAATCCGGTAAGATGTCGAATTTCAAAGCTAGTACTATACTAGTATGCTACTGTAAGACATGTTAATATCCGTACATAACACATATCAGGCATTACAGCCTCAACTGAACTAATTATAACGAAGAGATGAAACTCGCTTTAATAAACGTTAGATTCACTTCCTCGTCATATTCACATGTCTTACAGTATGTGGTTCCAGTAGTATCACAGTGAACAGCTCAAAGTATAGTACATGCACAGAGGGCCTATGTACATGTAGCAACTTGCCACTTCATGCCACTACTTCATATCAGATCTCACAATGCTGACGATATCAGCGTCAGGAATTTTTAGTGCAAAAAAGTATAACGTTAGCAGTTTGGGGCGCGTTTGGTTGGTACGAACTAGAACAGGGTTCACCAGAACAGCGCGTTTGGTTGGGACCGCACCTGTTCTGGTTCGGCCAGAACATGTTCTGCTTGCTCCGGCCTCGAGGCCGGAGCAGACCGAGCAGTTTCACTTTTTCACAGTGAAACCTGGCGGGAACATCGATTTTGGTCCCAAATGATCACGTGCATACGCTTTTGGGTTGGACTCGTTGTACCGTACAAAGTGACCATGGTGACCCATACACATTTTGAAGAATGCACCAAGTTTCACACATTTTTCCACGAAAATGTGCTCTGTTTCTGGAGTACCGTTTGGTTGGCATGAGGCTGCTCCATGTGCACCAGCTGTTCGATCCTGTTCTAGATCGTACCAACCAAACGCACCCTTAGTGTTACAAGGAAGGCATGGAAAATTTCAGCGCATGTTCGATCACACGCACGCTTCCACTTCCGTCCATTCTAGAGTTCCCTACGATGCATGCACCGTTCGATTACACAGATTTCTTCGTCAGAATCCAATGGATTTCAATCCATGGAATCCACTTCCGTCCATTCCGAAGTGAAGGCAGAATTTCTATTTCTCTCACCAGAATTTATGCATTTGGTGTACGCTTTGTTGCCGCTACGCGTGTGGAGCAGATCAGTAGTAGATCATGAGCACAGACAAATTCCAGTTGTTTGTTTACATGGTGTAATCTGCACAACCTGGTTATTCGAGAATTTTCAAACCTGGGTCCAAACCCTGTAACTTTGTAAGCGAACGAGTCCAGTTGCACTTGGCTCTCATATGTAATATGATTCCGTAATTGGATGCATTGTCACTGAGATCAACACTCATTTGCTGTGGATTATTTTCTCGTTGCTGCTGCTGCTTCCATGCAGGTGAGAACACAATCATTATAGCACCTGGTGCTAATGAATGTATGGACACTGCAGTTCTGGATAGTGCCCGTGATGTCATTCAGAATGCCAAGGTTGTGGTTTGTCAGCTAGAGATACCGCCACCAACCGTCAAGGCAGCTCTCTTGCTTGCCAAGCAAAATGGAGGTCAGTGGATAACATTGCTCACTCCAGTGACATCTGCTGCCACGTAGTAGTCGTACGTCTGACACAAAGCATTGCTACATCCGTGGCCAGTAAAATTCACCCGTGACTAAGTAACGTGTTTGGATGCACAGCCCATTATCCACAGCACACACTGTACTTGTAAGGCCATGGAGTGCCTGGTGGCAAGGTTTGTTCAAGAGGGCGGTTTCAATGAGCAACATTGTACAATGCTACTCATTGGAACTCAGCGTTGTGACTTACTTGTAAGTTAGCGAGCGCTGGACGCCGTGCAGCGTGGTTCTGTTAGCTTTGTTTCTAAGAAAAGCAGGTGTGATCCGGCTCTGTAGGGTGTGGCATTCAGGAATGTGTGCGTCTGAACTCACCATGAATGTTGCGTATGTTCTTGTCCAGTGCGTACAATATTCAATCCCGCTCCAGCAGTCAACGGACTGGATGAGACCATCTATTCTGTGTCGGATATAGTCTGCTTGAACGAGACAGAGGTAAGTTTCCTATTTGCAGGCCTATTGAGCTGTTGCATTGTTGTCGTCTTCTTTTCCCCAAAGCTAAACCATGCTTTCAGTATACCATGTGTGCGTGTTGAGAGGTTGCACTTCACCTGGATAGCTAGATTACCCTGGGGTAATTGTCTACATGTAACCAGTGGCATTTGTGGATTATGCGAATAAATATTTCTCCAGGTCTAAAGGTGGGGAAATTCCGCCCGTACGATTACCGGGGTTTATGTAAAGCGGCTTCTCCGGGTAAATCCAATCAGATTGCAACGGTGACAAATTGGGGTCTCACAGTCACCTTTTAAAATTGATTGAGACATCCATGAACACTGTACAAGTGTGCAAGAATGCACCGTTAGTGCGAACTTCTAATAGATTGTCTGCTTCACGTGCTTGTCTAAATTCTAGCGCCATCTGTATGCATGTCCCAGCAGCACTGTGCGTTTCGTTAGCACCTTTAGAACTTTTGTCATCTTCAACTTCTTTCGTTATGCCACTTTTCTATGTAGAAGGTGTGCAATTGTGCCACTTTTACCCTATAAATATACTCATTCCTTTACCTGCTATTCATTCGTTATCTACCTCTACCGAGGAGCTCTTAATGAGCGAAACAGCTGTCTGTAGGATATGGAGCATCTATCCAAGAACGAACTTCCTTGCTATGGAGTATGGCGTTGTGAAAGTGGGCCAAGAGCGCAGTGTGGAGGGGTGGACAGTTAAAATTATTTTCAAATGGCCGAGTTTGTCGCTACTTCTGGGTTGTTGCATGGAGGCTGTTAGTCAAGAGGGTCATCTGATCGAGTGAATGCGGCATTTTTGTGTGGATGGTATCGCTATGGCAAATCGGACACTGAAGTGACGTTATGTCGAAGGATATCTGGAGAACGTTGCCTGGAGTGTCACTGTGGATGCAAAGATAATTTCTTAATTTACTTGTGGCCAGGTGTATCCGTGTTGAAATTAATCCGGGAGATATTTATCATTTTTAATAATGATAAATATCTCCCGGATAAGCGTGTGTGGCCAAACGAACATCTAGTAAGTCATGAGAACCCCTGTGCGCGGCTTAGAATGTGTAGTATGACTAGTATCATGTGCCCATGATGCTGATTCTTGTGCTAAATGAGGCGCTTTATGGAGTGACAGCGCAGCAGGTGTGTGGAGAAAAAAGGTTGGTTGTGCGTTGATGTGTGTTGCTGTGTGTTGATGTGCGTTGATGTGTGTTGATGTGTGTTGATGTGTGTTGATGTGTGTTGATGTGTGTTGATGTGTGTTGATGTGTGTTGCTGTGTGTTGCTGTGTGTTGCTGTGTGTTGCTGTGTGTTGCTGTGTGTTGATGTGTGTTGATGTGTGTTGATGTGTGTTGATGTGTGTTGATGTGTGTTGATGTGTGTTGATGTGTGTTGATGTGTGTTGCTGTGTGTTGCTGTGTGTTGCTGTGTGTTGCTGTGTGTTGCTGTGTGTTGATGTGTGTTGATGTGTGTTGATGTGTGTTGATGTGTGTTGATGTGTGTTGATGTGTGTTGATGTGTGTTGCTTGTGCTTGCTTTCTTCTTACAGTGTCTCTTCTTTTGTGTTGTCATTCCTACCTAGGCATCCATGTTGACCGAGGTTCAAGTGACGGGCGTTGAGTCGGCACAGAAAGCTGCCATTTCGCTGCTGTCTCGTGATGGTCCAGGGGCAGTTGTGGTAACGCTCGGTGCACAGGGAGTGGTCTATACGGAGCGCGGCAAGCCAGGAACACATCATGTGGCAGCTGAGACAGTCAAGGCCGTTGATACTACAGTAAGTACTCATGCTCATCATGTGCATGTCACTAGGGGTGAAACGACCCATCCTAATTCCTTATCGACTGACTATCGACTGGTTATCGACTGACATTGCCCTCACACATGAACACAAGCAAAGCATATTTACGCATACATCCATGCACAAACAGAAGCACAATATGAGCACATTGTAGGTTTCAACGTTGAAGCGGACCAATGCAGAATGTTTTTCGCACCTTTCTTGTACTCGGCCGTGCGTTTTATGAAATACACTTGGCACCTGAATCCATTCGCTTTAAAAAGCGAATGGATTCAGGTGCCAAGTGTCATAGCACATGGCCTGAACTCACAGGACAAATGCCTGAATGTACTTCTGGGCATTTATAGTGATTTTATACATATAATTTTTTTAAACATTACGCAATAATGCGAGTTGATAAGGGTTTTCCTTCTATCGACTCGACTGGCCAGTAAACTTATCGACTCAGTTGTTTCACCCCTACATGTTATACTGTGCTAATGTAGAGATTTATGGTTATAGCCGTAGCACGAGGAGCACCGCGGCTGTAGTGCACAGAAGCCACACTGTTGTTCCTGTAGTCAGGTCAACACACACACACGCTTTGACCTTGACATACAGCTGCCGTTAAACGGCTAAGCTGCCCTCATGAGGAGGGGAACAAAGGGGTAGCATCACGGCGTCGCGGCAGAACATCCGGCCTCATGTCGTTGCAGATCCTGCTGTCTGCGATATCTCTCGCCGCACGCACAGCAGAACTTGAACTCAAGACGCTCCCTCGCTGTTGGTCGCTTGCCACGCTCACACACACACACACTAGCACTGTACTGGAAAATAATACGAAGTTTGTAGCAACACGAACTGGAGTGCATAACCAAGAGTTTGCTAATGAGTCGGCGATTTCCTAGCACACAGTGGACGTTTTCATATCAGTCGTTCTCAGTCATGTGAGCTACGGTCAGTGAAGCAGAACAACGGCTGATAGATCCGCGGGTAAATTGCGGAAGAAAATCTCAACTTTTGCGGTACAAATCACAATACTTTTTAACATCAGCATGATTTGCAGTGAAATTACGGGGAATTTGTGAATTTGCATTGGTGAATCATGGTTTCCCGGAACAAAGAGTCTGCCAAATAGGAAGGGGAAAAGGCACATTTCATTGTAGCTACTAGCTATACATGTATGTCAACAACCACATTCTTCATTGAAAATGTAAACCCAACAATCGTTTTCGAGCACATTCTCTCTACTGCTTACACCAAACATCAAGAGTACATAACCCCCCAGAGTGTGCAACTCCCACATACCCTGCTGTCCCGACAGAATTTCAAGTTGACGTCATTATTTATGACGCAATGCTCCTTGCACCAGTGATTTAGAACATGTGTACAGGTGTCAATGCATCACACGTTTTTCTTTGCAATAATTTGTACAGGATCGATTGGCTTCGGTCAACCAAAGGTTCTGGATTCGTCTGGTAATCTGTGTACAGTGCGCATTGCATCATAAAAATGACTTCAACTTGGAAATTCTGTCGGGACAGCACCCATAGTGGAGTTGCACACTCTGTGTGTGTGTGTGGGGGGGGGGGGGGGTTATGTACTCTTGCAAACATGCACACTGGTCATAAACATCTCTTTTTGCTTTGTTTATGTTCTTACAGGGAGCGGGTGATGCATTCGTGGGTGCACTTGCCTTTTTCCTGGCTAAGTATCCATCGTTATCACTGGAGTCGATGATCAGAAGGTCTGCAGCAATAGCAGCAGTTTCCGTTCAAGCACCTGGCACCCAAACAAGCTTCCCCAGTCGAGCAAAGCTACAGGAGTCCTTGTTTTCTGAGCAATAGCATATCATTTATTCATTAGTTTGCGGGAGCTTTAAATACTTTTATACTACAAAACACAATAAATCTAATTTTATTGTCAAGTTTGCTACTCAACAGCTGTAAATGCATTTTCCGATGAAAGGAAGTGCTGATACTTATAGTAAAATATTTAGTATGATGCTAGAGAAAGATTATTGATCTGCCTGCAGAGGGATCTGTGGTATACAAACATGGCCTTGGAACGTTGGCAGAAAAAGCTGGGATTGTTGCTATCAATAGTAACAATAAAAACCCACTCTTGAATTCTGCGCTACAAGCGGGTACCTGTCTTTCTTGAGGATGGACAAATTAAGGAATTAATGGCGGTGACTTTGAACTAATGCATCTCGGAGGCGTGTTGTCTTTTGTATATCCACGCCCGAGTAAATAGTTGATGTTGCTACGTTTGATGGCGAGTTGGAGGCGGGCGAGCTAGTTTCATTGGTCTGTGGTGTGGTCGTGGTTGATGTTCCGCCGCCAACCTTCACACTCAAGTAATTTACCTGCAACAGCCACAGTAGTAGAGCATTACAAAAAGAAAAGTATGTAAGTCAATATGGCGCACGCACACACACACGCACACACAAAGCAAGCTTCTATTATGGCAGAGTACGCAAGTCCACGAGTGTACAGCTCTGGGTACCCTTGCTATGGGGTCCGCCGACGGTGAAAACTCAGATCGCGTGGTGCCGTGTTCACTTTGTACATTCCCAGGCCATTTTGGGGACCAGCGGAGTAGTAAAAATAGCACTCCCTGACAGAACCCACTGTTATGCGAGTCATCAGCAAGATCATGGCAGATATTCTGACTGCGTGCACGCTCGCCTTCGTCGTACAATGTGCGTAGTACTAAGTACAGATCGTACTTGGAACATGCGACGCGAGTCCTTGCTGTCAGAGACCTTGCACACTCTTGGTATTGTCGTGGACATGGAAATCCAGTCGATTGACCGGGGCCGGCGCCCTCAGCGCGTACAGAACAGTGCACAATCATGTTGATCCGATGCGACCAGCACGCTGCAGCGCATAATACAATGTCGTGCATGTATGTACTGCTTACCCACGGCTGCATGGCCAGCGCCCTGGGGCCGCTAGACGTGCGGCCGGATTTCCATGTCCATGACAGCTCATTTACTCTTGATGCTATACGTAGTGCACGCATACACGATCATAGAGATATTCTGCTCTACATCTTGGGAACGAGACAGAGCACTTTTAGCCGCTCCCATAACGTACGAAAACCCCGTCCTGCTCTACGTCAAGGCAAAGAAATCACGCGAAATGTGTACTGGGAATTTCCTGATCCAAATGTGGAAGTTGTCTACCTAGTGTGACCGATAATCGGCAGATCCATACGCAATTTCTTTGCGTGTGACACAACGTAGAGAGCCTCATCTCCTCGTAGAAATCTGGGCCCTGTTTTGCGTGAAACAGAACCTCTCTAGTATCCACTCTTACACCACTCACAGGCAAGTTGATAGAAACTCATTTGAATGTATACTTTCAAATGCATGTTATGTCGAGGTTTATGTTATGTAGGATTACGTTGTGTAGAACAAAATTGTATGGGAGTGATGTTGTTTCGGCGCGGGATTTGATTTTTTTTACGTACTAGCGAGGTTTATGTACAAGTGAGAGTTGTTATATCGAGAGTAGACCTGTATTCAACTACGGTACACTGCTAAGGGGAACATGACCTGCAGAGCATCAGCACCGACTGCCGCATTTTACCGAAAGCAAACATTCACCAAGAAGAATACTATCTCAGGTGATCCAGTACAAGCCAGTGAAGTACAGCATTACGAGGTAGGGCATGTTCGATTGTGGGAATCCGGTGTGTGTGTGCACGCCGCATATGGTGCAGGTGTGTTTGACTGGGCAAATCTGGTGGCCGTGCACTTGGAGTGTACTTAATGTGACAGCTGACTAGTTGCACATATCCAACCGTGGCACTGCAACTAGCACAGGTGAGTACTTATTTGCCCTACATGAAAGCCGACCCAACATACTTGTACAAAGGCCAGTCATGATTTTATCACTGTATTAATTTTGTACATGTGTACGTCCAGCAGCATTCACACCACTTCCAGGGCACCAAATACGCACTTTTTTGCACTTTGGGTCAGATTCCACAGAGCTGACTGACTCACGACTGCCGTCTGAAGCACACGAGAAGAATGCTGGATGAGTGGATTTCCCAAAAATACTGTGTATTGAGTAGGGAGTGGTGCTCTCTTGCGAGTTTGTCAAGTGGGTGGTCCAGCATTCTTCTCGTGTGCTCCAGACGGCAGGAAGTGCGAGCTCCAGCGTTTGGAGCAGACATCCTAATCACCGCCGAAATCACAGCATCTCAGTCCCTATTTTTGCCCCCCCCCCCCCCCCACACACACACGGGCATCCGACTACTAGTCAACGGCCGTCAGCATCTGTATTCACAACTCCATGTAGACACTGGCTCCCACTGTTGCTTGGTGCTTACGAAGTGTTTGTCGCGCTGGAAATGGAGCGTCACTGTAAGTTGGTATCCGGGGATTCCCTAGTGATGTTTTGGCTCGGAAAGCACAATAGCCTACTAGTACTCCAGCTCAACTGATGATGGGTGAATTCCCTGAAACACTGTGTATTGAGGAGGGAGTGGTGCTTTCTTCAAGGTTTGTCGAGTGTACGGTCCGGATGGCAGCCGTAAGTCAGTCAAATGTCAGTCAGTCGGCAGGAAGCACAAGCTCCAACATTTGGAGCAGCCACCTTCTTCCACAATCACTTCCGAATTCGCAACATCTCAGTTTGTCTAACCACAGAGGTTTGCTGTGATGGAATCATAACATCCAACCATGCAGCCTCAGACACAACAACAACAACAGCAACAACAACTGTAAGAGTGACTTACGTCTCTGTCAGCTGCAGCTGGACGGCGAGGTACATCCACTGAGACATAGTCATATTCACCATCCCTGCCTCGAGTAGATTGCGCTGATGGGCTCGCCTGCTGCTGCTGTTGCGACTGTTGTGGCTGTCCCAGCTCATCCGTTGCTGAGTAGATACCACTGCACATGCTGATTGTATCGTTGGAGAAAGCGAAGGGGTTGTTACTGGGAGGCATAGGCCTACCTGACATGGAAGCACCTGGTGACACACTCCACGTATCACTGTCCGTGTCAGCACCAGCTGCATAATTAGATGATGTTGAGTAGGTTCTCCTCATAGCTACTGGTGGTTCTGGCAACTGTCTGCCATGAGCAACGCAGTCAAATAATTCCTTGATGGAAGCTCCCTGGTGCGTAGCAAGACGGTATACTTCAGGACCACCTAGATGACAGCAAGAGAAAAAAGGTTTGGGTGAGCACTTCTAAGGCCATCATTTTTTATATCTATGTTTCGCGTCAGTTCAACTTCCAGAATCATATGCGAGAGGTGGAACAAAATAAAAAGTTGCAAAATAATAAAAAGGCTCATCAGAGGTGTATAACTGTACATAGCATAATACTCAATAGCTCGTGCATGGTGTACATTCGAAAGAAAAATCGTACATCGAAGCACAAAATCTGCATCACTTTGGACAGAGGAGGCAACCGTTGGTGCCCTTGCTTCGCTGGATTATTGTACTCAGCCTTCAGCAGCGGTGCAAAGAGCTCCGGAATGACGTATCCTCTCAGCTTGAGGCGACCGATGCGGTCTGTTGTAAGCTCATAGAATACTGCTCGCAGATGCCGAACAAACGATTTACCAACGCTGGCATCGAGGCCATTTCTGAATCCCAGTTTCGCCGTATGCAACCAGTCAACACCGATGACTCGCACGATCATACACTAAACTGTGCATGATTGATTTTTTATTTTTTTCCGAAAAAAATCAAAACGTATGCGTGCGGACGACGCGAAACATAGATATAAAAAATGATGGCCTAATAAAGACACATAATATATAGAAAATAAGTGAGCAATATCAATGGAAAGCAATATAGCACAATAGAAATCTTGCGAGCTATGAATACTTGGAACATCAGAGGCAGCCCTACTCAACTGTAAGGACTGCACCCACATCCCTGAAGTATTTGTCTCCTATACTTTACAACTTTACATTTACCGAAAACTCGTATGAAAGTAAGTTGATACCTATCAACTCAAGCAATCTTCAAACTTTCTGGCCCGAAAGCCACACTCATACTTGAGTGAAAGACCAAGTATAAATTAAACCTTGGCTCTCCATCTGAGTTCATACTTGAGTACTAGTATTTTCTTAAAAATGACCGGAACCTTCCTTGTGCCTCATAACACATTTTGTTTTTCTAATTTAAATGAATGCTTGGTAAGCCACGGTGAGAGAGAGAGAGAGAGAGAGAGGGGGGAGAGAGAGAGAGAGAGAGAGAGAGAGAGAGAGAGAGAGAGAGAGAGAGAGAGGGAGAGAGCGAGAGGATGAACTGCTGTCCAGAAAATCCAGCAAAAAAATCCGCCGTCATTGAAATTCCAGTGAACTTCGCCGAATGGCGTTTATCGGCCTATGTAAATCCCAAGACAAAGTTTGACAGACTCCAATAAATCTAGATGCAAGATTCTAGATTCAGACCTTGATCGTATGTGAGAACACAAACTTTTGATTTCTTTTTTTGAAATTGCAAACAGTGAAAGTTTCCAACTAGGCAGCTTTCATTGATTCACAAAGCACAAGTATTGCGTAATGCAGTCTGATGGGAAACTGAATACCCACTGCTACAAAGGGAGAACTTTTCAGTGAGCAGTTAAAAGAAAATTTGAAAAAATCACCAGAAGCAAGACCAGATTCATTGTACATGTACCGTAAAGTACCGCCAGAGCGCCCCGCCTTGATTTTACACCCAGGGAAGGGAAAATCGTATGGCAGAGTGCAACAAAGTTTGTACGGTGTGAGAACCTTAGTGCACTAAGGTCATAATAAGCAGGTTTTGTGTGGAACTCGTGTCCGCTCGAAGGTACGGATTGTCTGCGGAACGTGCAACATGCGTACAAAGTTTGTGTCGTATGACCAAGAGTGTGCAACTCGACTATGGGTGCTGTCCCGACAGAATTTCCAAGTTGACGTCATTTTTATGATGCAATGCGCACTGTACACGGATTACCAGACGAATCCAAAACCTGTGGTTGACCGAAGCCAATCGATCCCGTACAAATTATTGCAAAGAAAAAAGTGTGATGCGTTGACACCCGTACACATGTTGTAAATCACTGGTGCAAGGAGCATTGCATCATAAATAATGACGTCAACTTGAAATTCTGTCGGGACAGCAGGGTATGTGGGAGTTGCACACTCTGGGGGGTTATGTACTCTTGGTATGACCTACAGACAGGAGACCACCTCCACAATACGACCACAAAAGGACGAGTTTTGGTGGGGCGCTCAGGCAGTACTTTACGGTATATGGACTACACGAGGAAAGTCACTAAAAGGGCACTTTACAACACTATACATGTACCATGATGAGTCTGAGGAGACTCTAGCCTTACCGATGCTCCTCGAGCCAGATTCAAACGAGAATCCTTGAGAGCCACCATAACGCCGCAAGTGATTGTGCTGCCATAGACCGAGACAGACTGGTGGAGAGCCATTGGTCAAACTGAAAAAGCGCGGGTAGAAACGCATAATTGCATCACCAGCTGGTACGATGTTCTGCGTGGCAAGCACACGAACATCAAACTTCCATTCTGCAAATACAAATCACACACACACACACACATACATGAATGAACAACCTTCGACTGACCCGAGCACCGAGAAAACACAAGTAGCGGAGTTTTTGATTTGAGGCTGTACTTCTCACTTTACAGGGTAGACACTATCAATACAGGCTGTAGCTCAAGAAATAGGGCACGTTGCATCTTCATGTTCAAACCCATGTACCTGCAAGCCACAGCATGAAGTACACTTCATGTAAAGTTCTCAGCCTACAAGCATAGTAATAAAACCATAGGCAGGACATATCCAAGCAAGGCACTTACCATGGCCCAGCTCGTTAGCAATACAATCAACCCATGTTCGAAGTGCATCCATTGATGCCAAGGCGATGCAGTACGTTCGATAGAATGTAATCAAAGAAAAGCAGTGTGACTGTCCCTCGTATGGTCCAGGGAACACTTCGACACCAGCAAAGTTCTCCATTGGGACCTCATGGCCATGTGCATCCAGTGGCAAGTTCTGTCCATTACGTGACAGACGGATGCGAATACGTGACTCTGTTGTGCACAGATAGTCAGATTGAAATAAGCAGAGGCTGTCGTTAGGAAGAAAAAAATAGTGACGAACTCGGCCATTACTACATAAAAATTGTAATATCAATCACACCACCACTCCACAATGCACTGTCGGCTGAGGTAGCAGTTATCAAAAGAAAATCCAATTCAACACCTAACTCTACTCTCAGCACTCACAAGCGTGTCCCGAATGACATCGCTTCATACAGTTGATAGCGCTCCGTATACCAGGAGCCCCACCCGCAGTATACAATCATTGAATTCAGAGCTCCAGCCAGGCATAGCCTTTTATCAATTTACTATGCCACAGTTTGGGCCCTCTCATGATGCTTCTTGTGCAGTACAAGAATGCAAAAAGGACAATGCGTGCACCGCTGTGATCGCAGGTGAAATTCCAAGCCATCAGAAACAAACAATGCTCAGTCAATTGCCCCCACGTCATAGGAGAGTTACAGCTGGGCGTGATCTACACTGGGGCAGCATGCTAGACAGAGCTCCCGCAAGTCCCCGCAAGTCAGAGTAGCATATTCTTAGGAGCTATGGACTTGAAGCAAATCTTCCCACGGGCACACCATTAAGGAATGTTATGTTTGGAAGGACTCGGACATCGACCAGAGAATAGTTACAGCAAAAAACCTGTCAAGGCGAGGACTCGGATAAAGCGACAGCCTGTCTCAGAAGACCACTGCAAACCAGGACCAAGAAGGATGCTATTTCCAGTAAAATGACCCTGGATAAGGAGACCACCTGGTAATAGAGACCGTATTTGGTAGGTCCCTTGCGCGGTCGTCTTAGACAGATTTCAATGTACATGTACTTTATTATGTTACATCGTAATTTAAAAAAATCACACGAACTAATAGTTGACCTGTTCAAACTACAAAAATAAAGACAAGGACGAAAGAAGCCGCTGACAGGAGAGTGGCCCACCGATCTCTATCTCCCTGCGACATCCAGCACATTACATTGTAACCACTGAGTCTTTCGGTTGCTCGGATGGAGGTTGTGACCGAGGGGATTTGATGAAATGTTTGAAATGCAAAATTGAACTCCATGTATCATTGTAATCAAGAGTTGTGTGGGGCTTGTACGACTAAGTACTTACGGCCGGGACTCTTTGTTACAGAACACCATCTTGCATGCCACTGCGGAAACATAGGTAAATACGCATACGAGTCAGAACGACCATTGAAATGTGATCTATTGTGGACGGGAGGTTGGCCACTCACCGTCTTTGGTCCAGTGTCGTCTTCGCGATCCCAGACCCACACGGAGCTTTCCAGCACTATTCTAAGAGGATCTCCGGCCATCAAGCCGAACCCGCCTGTCGTCACCGCCTTTTGCCTTTCTGAGACAGGATCAGGCAAAAGGTCCTATGAAGCTGTCTTCGGGAAATCCCAACACTGTTCGACCCTGCACCGAAGGTTCCGTCATCAAGTAAAGTTAAAATTTAGATGTTTGTGGTGGGAAGTAAAGCTGTGTTGGAAGTAATTACACTGTAGTTCAGTCACCGTGCGCGTGTTCTCTACAGCCCTGCATGTTCTTGTTATGGGTGTATTCCATAGCTCTGCTCTGCGGCTCGTAGACTGTAGTGCTAAATTTGGTGAACGCCACAGGTACAGTACAGAGTAGCTAGCTGCTGTACTACGAGTAGTCGGAGTACGAACGTAACGAAGTGCCTTGCGCGATCGGCCGATCGCATCGCGCAGCCTTGCTATGTAGACATGGTACGTACGAGTAGACTACGTAGAGGGGACGGTTTCAAATAGGACACCGGTTGCAAACCGGAACGGACTCAATATTCACTTTCTCTCTTGGTATTTTGATTAGAAAACATAATATGTCACAGTGAGACTACTATGTGTTATACTCCGAGCCAAAATTTCATGGCTCTGCGATGACCAGAAGCGCCATATCAAGCAGGTGAGTTTTTGACGTGTTGCTTCGCACTGCGACTTGAGTTTTACGACTTTCGAAAAATCAACTTCTTGTCGCAGGTAAACAGCGGCTCGCCTCTCGCCAATAAAGCACCGCATACCAATCAAAACTAATGGAAGCACACACAAGGCTTATTGTTACTCTATACTGGCCGTCGTGGAGCGATAGCAATTACCTAATTTCAGACCCAGAGTGAATTTGACGTGCACTCTAAAACGTGTCCGGTTTGGAGCCACCTCTGATTTGAACTTTTTTGAAGCGAAAAATTGGGCAACTTGGAGGCAATGGGTCAACACAAAGGAGTGGCTCAGTTCGATTGACTCTGGCCCCAGAGCAAACTTCAACATGCCAGTTTCCTTCCACAAACATATTTCGAGTGAAAAATCAACGCTGATGAACGGTTTGGGTCTATACAAATTTGGCTGTCAAAACGTCCCGGTATCGAGCCGTCTCCTCTACCATCGTACTTTCGTAGATCTACCGGTATGCCGCACACAGATGACATGGCGCCAGCTACAGCTCAACAGCGCAAGTGTGATAGCTGAACTCATGCATGAGCTCACTGTTCAGGCCATGCGCAGCATCAGGTCTACATTTGGCATTTTGGTAGATTGATGAATCAATTTTTTGAAGCAGTATTGTTATTTTAGTTCTGCTTCTTTCACTTTCAGGTCAGGTACTAGGTGCAACTATTGCTTGTAATCAAGCGTTTTCTTAGTTGTTCAGGTGGCTAAAAAGAAGAATTGGAAGTGTTACCCTTGTGAGTTGGAAGAAAAAATTATGGTGAGTGATCCCTTGTTGGTAAAAAGGCATTAGAGTTTCCTGAACGTTTGCGTAAGATTTTTTATCTAAAATAGGCTGATGGCTACTTCAAGATTTGCTATTTTTGGGCTCAGAACTGTCGTAGTTTGTCTAAAAAGGGTACAAAGCGGGTTGCATATATATCTATAGCGGCCTTGTTTGCTACCTCCGACACTACCCATGCATTTCAAGAGCAGTACACACAGCAGAATGCTACGATAGAGCTGAGTGCACAGACATCCAGAGCCGTTCACCCACTGGGAATAGAATGAAGCAAGTTACATGTATTGTGACTCTCAGTTTCATGCGAATTTGATCACCAGAGAACAATAATAACCGGAGATTTATTATTAAGAGGTGAAATATAAACACTCAAGAACAATAAACAACTCCCATCACACTAAACCGTATCTCATGCACTGAGACTCCTCGCATACTATCTCCTGTGCCTTTGATTTTCCTTACCTCTTGAGGAGGAAGAATTGTATTCTGTTCCCGGGGCGATTCCGCGGCCGCGTTTTTTTCCGCGTTTTTTTCCGCGTTTTTAAAAGACCGCGTTTTGCGCGATTTTCCCCGCGTTTTTTGAACTTTTTTGTTGCACTACACGTACACACAGTGCACTGTTCGGTCAGCAACGTCTCATTGTGGCGGCATATGACGAGTGCTTACACCAAAGACTTGTAACTGATTGATTTCACTACATACTCACTGAAAATTGCCTCATATCAACTGCAAACTTGCCGCATACCGTATTTCCGCGCATATAAAGCCATGGCGTTATAGGTAGGGGTGAAACGGTTCCATGTTCGGGTACCCGAATGCCAGCATTGTTTCCCACGGTTCGGGTATCGGTTCCATGCACTCTTTTCTCCAGACCGACAAAATGCGTTCGCGACATTTATTTTTTAGAAAAAACATTTTTACGAGCAAGAATGAGACATCGGAGAGTCCAAGTGCGAAGAAGATAATGACCAGAGAACTCTTTGGAAGAGTGGGGATCGTAAGGTAAGACATTTTAAATCTTGAGTAGACTTGACGTGTACATGTATTTGTACGAGAACAAGATTTTTCGAGTTTCGCCTTCGGTTCGAAATTTGACGGAACGGGTACCCGATTCTTTTCAGCTGGCGGTTCCAAAACCGGTTCCTTACCCGAACCGTTTCACCCCTAGTTATAGGTGAAACATCGCTGTTTTGGACTAAATGTTTGGAGAAAATAGCCTCGGTGTTAACGCCATGGCGCTAAAAGTGAGAGACGCTTACATGAAAAAAATCGGCAGAGTATGAACTTCGCGTACTCGTATAGTGCCGTTGCACGTTCATGTCGAGCATCCATTATACTTTCAATTTTCCCTGAAAATTTCAAATTGTGAACCTATTGTGTACAAGGTGGCATACAAACTTGTGTGAAGGTGCGGTGGCGGTATGGCATGTGACAATGGGGATGGGTACATATAGAGAGAATCATCGCTACTGTAGGTTCACTGAAAGAATTGAACTCACCTTTAACGCCGGATGCAACTTCCTCCACATTGAATTTTGTTCACTTATAACGCCATGGCTTTATAAGTGAGGGTGGCCTTATATTCGGATATATCGCCATGGCTTTATATGCGCGGAAATACGGTATCAATAATATTCACCGCATATTTACCGCAAATAATGCCATATTTACCCGCAAATTACATCGCAAATTCTGGGATTTTTTCCGCGATTTTCCCCGGGGACAGTGTATTGCCATTCTGTAAAGGCTTACCAAAATAATATTATTATAGTGTGGAAAAATGCAGGCTGATAATTGTCTGATGTAGCTTGCTGGTGCGTCACATACTGCTTGGCACATAGACGATCACGCAACTGCAACTTTGCTTGATTACAACGTACCTTTCGTCCACGCTGGTCTCATCAGCCACCATAAATATAACTGCAGTGGAATCTTCATTCTCCCCAGCCAAGCACCGTCTGAGCACGTCCAACAATAAGATTGCTCGATGAGTCCAGTGGGGACAAAACATACCAGCCCATATCATATCACCAGCCATGCATCGACCACCCACCAGGTGCTAATATTGTGAGGGTGGGGAAAAAGCAAATTATTTGCAAGATTGTAACTTTGCGGCTTAGAGAGTGTGTGGGCAGACGTTTATTTACCACCATCTCGCAAGGTTAATCTTTAGTACCATCATTGTTGTAGCATAAATTCAGCTGCAATGCAGTCTCAAAATTCTTTTTCTGAAGTGCAGGGTGTCATCATGATTATCAAAGAAGTCCATCTTTTTCTGAATGCACTTTCGGTGTGGAGATTTCCAGCAATACTTGTGTAGTGTCCACTCCCTAAGCTGATAGGGCCTACAAGAATATTGCTCACTGAAGTATGGGAGCCCCGTATTTAGACAGCCGAGCTTAGCTTAGTGTTTGAAAAATCTTACTTGTGATCAGCATACATTTGTGTGCGTATGTTGCACTCTAGTATATGGACTTGCAATAACACTCAACGGTCTCGGAAAAAAATGTTTTTCGGATCCTAGCAACTTTGACCTGTTCGCTAAATTCGCTAAGATTTCAAAATCGCTAAAATTTAGGGGTTATACTTTTACAGTATTACATGCATCATAGCTTTCCTCCTTTGTGGTGCCAACATCATTTGAAGGGGAAGTTAAGGCAAAAATTAAAATTTCACCAGTTGTAGTCTTTGGGGTGCTGAGTCGAATGGTCTTGGTCCGAGAAAGCTGAGACGCTCCCTTCCTACTTGAATCCCAATCGAACTCGCGCACTTCCACCGAAACTGGGTGACTGCGCCCTACTAGATGGGGATTTGTATGCAAAATGTCACTAAAAGCGCCATTTCGTTCTTATAAAAGCACGGATGACCGCGATTGGCCCATATGTTGTACTCTTTTGGACGCTGAGTCGACTGGTTTTGGTCCGAAAAGGCTGCGATGCAGCGTTCCTCCTTTATTCCCAATCGAACATGGTTGAACAATCGGTCACGTGCTCCTGGGTGCCCAAATCACCTGGTCACCACGCCAGCAGGTGACAACTTTCACACCAAGGTTCAACTCGAGTTCAACTCGAGTGACAGGACTGCACCCAAAAAAGGTCAAACAGGCTAGTAAGTTGTACCCTGCAGGCACGGTGACCAGGTGACTGGTGTACGCAGGAGCACGTGACCGCTTGTTCAACCATGTTCGATTGGGAATAAAGGAGGAACGCTGCATCGCAGCCTTTTCAGACCAAAACCAATCGACTCAGCGTCCAAATGACTACAACATATGGGCTAATCGCGGTCATCCATGCTTTTATAAGAACGAAATGGCGCTTTTAGTGACATTTTGCATACAAATCCCCATACACAATATAGTAGGGCGCAGTCACCCAGTTTCGGTGGAAGTGCGCGAGTTCGATTGGGATTCAAGTAGGAAGGGAGCGTCTCAGCTTCCTCGGACCACGACCATTCGACTCAGCACCCCGAAGACTACAACTGGTGAAATTTTAATTTTTGCCTTAATTTCCCCTTTAAAGGGGAAGTCCGGTGAAAAATTTAAATTTCAGGGTCGGTAGAGTTTCGGGCGCTGAGTCGAATGGTGTTGGTCCCACGTGTCTCCGACAAAGCGTTCTCGAGATATTTCCGTTTGAAAAACTGAGTTTCGGGGGCTGCGCCATGACGTCATGCGGCCGCGCCACACCCTCTGCAACGTCATAGCGTGCAGCTAGGTCAAAAGGAGTGCGTGTCAGTGCTATTTCAAATGATTTGGCGACTGATAGTTTGGTGCAAGCAACCCCGAAGACCTGTAACTCCTTGTGAGAGTGAGGATGCAGCCATGGCTGACCTTCATGAGTTCGGTCTGGGGCTGAGAACCTCGGCAGCTGAAGAAATGGCCACGCGGGCCGGTCAAGAGTGAGCGCTACTGAGTTTCCGACTGATGAAGAAGCAGCAGCTATTGCAGACGAGGCTGATCAGATCGCTGGAGAGCAGGGTCGCCAAAATGGAGAAGAGTGATGCGAGTGCTCTAAATGTTGTTCCATACCGATTAGATTCGCTTAGACTCCAGTAGCCTGCCACATGGTGATGTTTTGGTGCGAACTTGGAATATTTCGGACTACTCAATTGGAGAACAGTGCAGGCTCTTTGAACCACGGGCACGACTCTTCGCTCGCAACGCTATGGAATCTGAAAGTTCTAGGTCCGGGAGCTGTTCGCTGTTTTGTCACTTGTCACGGTTGTGCACTCATCGCTGTAACATAAAATAATGAGGCGGGTGCGGAAAACTAAAATTTTCTTTCTCAAAGCACAACCACCGGCACCGGCAAGGAGAAACGCACGTTCTCTGACTACATGACTGAACAATACGACTGATACGAGTGTAGTACATGACAAGTCCGTGTGTTGACTAGTTTGTGTCAGTTGTGACTCGAGTCTTGTACATACTACCCCAGCACGGCAGTGCGGGAGTAGTTCCGTCTGTGATGAGTTTGTTGACTGCACTACAGCTACTACTAGTACTAGTAGATAACACACTGCACGCACTGCATGCACGCAGCGCAGAGCGCGTAGACGGTAGAGGCTGACGGAAAAGTCCAACTCGGAAACGGCTATAATACGGTATAACCTCCAGGGTTACCGAGCTGAAAATCACAGGGTACGTAGTGTTTGTAACACTGAATCGAATGGTCTTGGTCCGAAGAAGCTGCGACAAACGGTTCCCCAATCGAACGCGCTCCGAATATGGCCATTTTTGTACACAACTAGATGGTGTGGCTACCTGGCTGCACGCTGTGACGTCATCACCTGGATCTGGGTGATGCGCGCTCAAATTCGCACATGTTCGATTGGGCGTATCTGACGAACCATAAGCCGCAGCCTCCTCGGACAAAGACCATTCGACTCAGCGACCCGAACTCTACGGACTGTGAAATTTAAATTTTTCACCGGACTTCCCCTTTAACCATTTGTTTGTGTGTCTGTGTATGTGTGTTATAATTATACTATATTGTGTATGTGTTAGGCTGGGGAACGGAAGAAGAAGGAGAGTATTCTGGAGCTGAGCAGATATCTTGACAAACCCGTGCGTGTCAAGTTTCAAGGGGGAAGAGAAGGTGAGAGAAATACTCGTAGATGTATTCTGTCCAAACTACATTACATTGTTGTAATGCGCCCGGTAGGATCACTATAGTTCTTATCCACGCCCTCTTCAAGTAGGGAATGTGTTTCCGGCGCCAAAAAAATTGCCGTATTGCGTCGCACTACCCAAGCCTTGTACACCAGAACTCCTGATATCTGACAAGATTGACATCAAAAAATGTTCTTCCATGCATAGGAATAGGAGTGGAGCTGCAAACTCTTGTATGCGTGCTCTTGGTACAGTTGTTAATGTTGAACAAAAATAAAGGTAGCTCAATGCACACATTATAGACTATGATTGAGTGGTTCAGGTCATTCAAAAGTACAGACATTGTCCAAGTTGACAGCTGTTCATTTATTTGTATTGCCGGTTTGGGGTTTTGTACTAAGCCCTGTCATTGCGTGACTTACTAATGCTTCCTAATTCTACGAAAGTACTGACTATCAGACTTTTCAAGTATTTCGAGCCTGCACAGTTTCACAGGAAGCGCAAGTTTCAAAGTCTGAAGAAAATGTTGAACGGTGTCTGCGGAGATGATATGACAGCTACACCATAGCTTAGTGGTAGAGTATCACTGGCCTCAAGCGAAGGCCCTGGTTCGAGTTCTGGTGGTGACAGTCATTTTTTTCTTCAGACTTTTCCCTTTTCCATTCCCTCAACTAGTGAATATTTTGAAGTTGGTTTTGAATATTTTGGAGTTGGTTTGAGCTTTTCTGGAAAATTTCTCCAGCCTTACTCAGGCGGTTGTTGCATTTTTCTTGTATCTATTTCTTTTTAGCTTGGATAACAAAAATATTTATGCGCAGAGTGATCACAGATTTTATCATGGTATAGATGCAGGCCTAAGGCCGCAGTCACACCAAGCGCGATTCAGCCATTCAAAAAAGCGCTTTTTGACGTCATCGTTGTTACAGAAACGGCTGAATTTTCGGCTTCAGCCGTTTTCAGCAGTCAGCCGTTTTCAAAGCGCTGAATGGATTCAGCCACTTTCACCCATTCTGACGCAGTCGCGGGAAAAACAAAATCGTGCAAATCCAAAGCACATCTTGCCATGGATGCATCGTGTTCTGAAATATTCCGGCTTTCGTTGTTGGTCCAACTTCTCTCATTGCCTGCTGTCTGTTATTGTCCTCATCTTTCCTTGTGCGCTTTCTACAAGGTATGATTTGGTTCGGCAGCGTCAGACAAGGGAGACTATTGTGCGATAGAAGCATGCAGACAACGGCACAGAGTCTAGTTTCAGGATCCATGGCTGCACTACAAGCTCAAACCTCCCTCAATCTTTCAAAAAAGCACCTTGATTCCAATGAAGCTCCTAGTACAGTACCGAAACTCTGCTGATTGCCACGTACATGTTCAACAGATAATAAAAAGTAATTTAAAATTCAAAAAAATCAAATTCAAAAATGGACTCAAAGAAAAAACCTCTACAGCACGCAAAAAAAATTCAGCGGATCACATGGCCATATGGGTCGATGTGACCAACCGCTTCATTCAGCACAAGCCACTTTCAGCACAAGCTGAAAACGGCTTGTTTGGCTCCAACCGCACTAGATAAATTCATTCACACTGTCCAAGCGGAGAGATTTGTCCAGTGCGTTGACCAAAGTTGTAGCCTTGTGAGACAATAAAGACATTTTAGGAACTCGTAAAACGAGTGCACAGCGAGTGTTTTAACCCTTTTGTCCCTTTGGTCTACAGTGAATGGGCTAGCAGTGATGATTCCGGAAAACAATACTTGTACTTCGAAGTAGAAACGAGAGAGCTTGGAAGCTCAGGGCCCTACGCTATGCTTTTTTGCCTTGATGACCTAGACAAAAAAAAGCACAGGGATGTTATACATTCTTTAAAAAAATCCTTTTTTTAAAAGACATAACCTGGGATTCGAACCCGCACTATCGCGCGCCCTGCATGCATCCCCCGATACACTTCGCATACATACTAATTCTTCCAAGTTGCTTCACGTTATGATCTTGCATTTGAAAGCCCTATTTGAATATGCATTGTGGCCAGCCGTCTTTGATGGTACGGTACGGGATAGGTACGGGACAGGTACGATCGAGGGTAATACGACACCGTCTACCGCCTTGATGACGGCAAAAAAAGCATAGGGATGTTATAAATTTTTCAATTCTCCTATTTTATTTTTTCAGGCATATCCTGGGATTCGAACCCGCACTATCGCCCTACATGCATTCCCCCATACACTTCGCATTCATACCCATTCTTCCAAGTTGCTTCACGTTATGATCTTGCGTTTGAAAGCCCTATTTGAATATTGCGGCCAGCTGTGTTTGATGGTACGGTACGGTATGGGACAGATACGGGATAGCGCCAGGCGTGACACAAACACACAAACAAACAAACACACAAATACCAAATTAAAGCTGTGTGGACCCTGGCTAGCGCCAGACGTTACTGCAGTAACGTCTTCTGCATAGCTACGGGAATAATGTCTGTTGGAGTACTAGGTAGGTAACTTTGAAGTGCATATACAGCATATTGGCATGGGTATTGTTTCGATTGGCTGTTGATTGTTCGGTTCAACATGGTCTAATGCCTAATGGTATGCCAACACTGTTGTTTGTGCATGCAGCCAGTGGAGTATTGAAAGGCTATGACGCATTACTCAATCTGGTACTTGATGGAGCGACAGAATATGTCCGAGGTATGTCGTGTTCTCCATTGATATTATTTTGTGCTGGATTGTGACTGTGAACAGCTAAATACACTGCTAAGACAGTGAGCATGTTACCAGTCGTCAAATTGCTATTTAGATATGTCGGACCTGATGGCCATGAGATTTCCTTGTCCTTTTTTTGCTTGTGACTTATGGCATGTTGTGTTGTAGGGTGTGGATGTATATTAGGGAGGTTCCGGAGTACGATTTTTCGTGCCAAAATCCGTGGAGGCGCTACGGATTTTTTTACGTCGTTTTCGAGCAGTGAAAAGTTCCGGGGTACGGAACTTATGTGTTTGCCGTCATTGCTTAGGTTACGATCGCAAACACGTCACATTCCCGCGCTATGCCTTTTTATTTTGAAAATTTGTACCGAAATCAAAACTTCCCGCGGAAAATCGATGTTTCTCGTACCAAATTTGTACGCGAAAAATCTTTCTGCACCCGATGACGCAAAATCTCCATACGAAACACGGTTCGTATGAAAGCCAGTCCACATGGATTCTCCGTTCCGAAAAATCGTATGGAGCACGCCTGGAAAAAATCTGTAGCGCCCATACGGATTTCGGCACGGAAAATCGTACCCCGGAACCTCTTTATTTAGTAGTAGTAGTAGTAGTAGTAGTAGTATTTATTATTTTACTAGGGCAATCCCCACAGACTGTGAGTCTTTTTACAGGGTACCCTAGGTAAGTACGTGAAATAGAGCTGAATGAAGAAAGCCGTAAGTGCGTGAAATAGAGTAAAGAAAAAAGAAAACGGTGGCTGAATACTATGCCATTATGTGTTGCAAAAGAGGCTGCGAAGAGTACTGTTGAACATTGCGAAGGAGGCTGCCTGGCGGCATGCTGCTGGAAGCGAATTGCACCTGTCAGCAGCCAGGTAGGGCAAAGCATAGAAACCGTACCGTGACGAAGCATTAGGCAGGGCTAAAGCCAGGGCGGACTGTCCCCTGGTCAAGGCATTGGTATGGTTGCTATTTGATCTAAGTACGAAAAGCTCGGCAAGTAGAGGGCTGCGGCGGCCATGCACACATTTATAGACAAGGCAAAATATTTTTAGGTTTACGGATGGCGACAGGAATGATTTTGTGGCGGTGACAAATGGTGGCTGTTGGGTGGCATGGTGGGTAGCCAAATGTTATCCTGAGGCTACGCTTGAAGCATCGAATGAGTGTGTTGTATAGGGTTGCTGATGTCGTGTGAACGTAGCAGTTGCTGGCGTACTCCATGGTGGATTGGATAATGCTTAGGTAAAAGGAACGTTGTGCCGGGGTGGTGATGTGATGTCGTATTCTGCGGAATGCGGCCAGCTTACGGTTGAAGCAACAACTTTCCCGACCTGCTCCTTGAAGGCAAGGTGCTGGTCGACTAGCACTCCAAGGTAACGGACACACTGGGAAGGGGATACTGGGAAGTTACCACAGATGACAGTGAAGGTAGGTGGAACTGGGGTTGTCTTCCGGTGGACGATTAATAGTTGCATTTTGTCGGGGTTCAGTAGGAGGCCCAGTTCCGTGAGGTGTGATTTAACCGCATCGAAGCTCTCTGATAGTCGGTCCTGTATCGTGTTGATGCAGCTGCTCGATGTGTAGAGTCCTATATCGTCGGCGTAGAGTATGTTAGATGTGTGAGTTGGTGTGATGTCTGTTACGTGTCTTGTGTAGATCGTGAAAAGAACGGGGCCCAGGACAGAGCCTTGAGGTACCCCTCGACTACAGGTCACGGAGTCGCCGGATGTTTTTGTGGAGGGGTTCGTCACTGTCTGTCGACGAGCACTTAGATAGGAGGCGAATCAAGACAGCGCTGTGCCACAAATACCGCAGGAGTAGAGCTCGTTGATGAGTGGCTGGTGCTTGACCCGGTCGAACGCCTTGCTCATGTCCAAGAATAATACTCCGGTGTACTGACCGTCATCCAGGCATTGTTGCCACTTTGATATAGCAAGTGAAAGTGTATCCTCCGTGGAATGATCAGAGCGGTAGGCGAACTGTTGAGGAGGAAGAATGTTGAGCTCTGGGTGGGTGTTGATATAGCGCTGCAGTTGATGAAGGACGATCTTTTCTAGAAGCTTGGATACGATGGGGAGTAGAGATATGGGGCGATAGTTAGAGGGACACTCTGGATTGCCTTTCTTGAAGAGGGGGAATACAGACGCTACTTTATATATGGCTGGAAAGGAACCGAGGGAGAGTGATTCGTTGAAAATTAGTACTATTGAAAATGAGACAGAGGGGACCGGCTAGTTCTTCTGCACAGATCTTCAGAGGAAGGGGTGGGAGTTTGTCGGATCCGGTGGATTTGAAAGGGGAGATCTTCTTGAGGAGCTTGCAGACTTCAGTGGTAGTGACAGGGGTGAATTTTGCGAAACTGGTGAGCTGTCGGGGGCCTTGGGGGATTTGCAGGGAAGGAGGTCGCTCTGGGTCAGAGATGACCGATCCAAAGAAGTTGGTGAGGCTGGAAACTTCGGCTTTGAGAGGTGTTGGAGTGGTGTTCCGACCAAGGAGTTTGTTGAGCAGTTTCCATTGGCGGCGAGGATCATTTCGGCAGTCTGAGAACTCCCTTACTAAATATTGATTCTTTAGGCGTTTGTTAAGCAGCGTGCCTTCTCTTCTTGCTGCACGGTACAGTTGCAAGAGCTGGGTGTCTGTCGGGTTTCTCATAACAGCGCGGTGAAGATGTTTGCGACGGTGGAAGAGATGTGTTAGCGCTGGTGTACACCACGGGGATGGCTTAGGTTTCCGTGATTTCTGGCTGCGACAGGGCCGTAGTGGACACAGCGTGCTTACGGCCAACAGGACGCTGTCGCGAAACGCTGATGCTGATTCATCCAGCGATTGGAAGGTGCCGCTCGTCGATTCGGCCACATTCTTTGCGATTTCTGTTTTCAGCATATCAGGGCTGATTGAGGACAGAGGTGGTCGGCGGATATGTCGTATCCCTGTAGTTGCGGGTGATGAAGCTCTTCCAGGGGCACTGTAGGAGAAAGTTACATGGTGATGATCACTGACGTCTACTACGGGATGTACAGCTTGGTTCCAGATGAAAGCTCTGGAACTGCCTGGCGCACGACCTAGCAACTGTTGATCGACCAGTACAACGTCTAGACATGATTGGCTGGGGAGTCGTGTGGGAGAGGAGATTATGTTCTAAAGGTGAAGTGAGCTGCAGAACTCTTTGAAATGGTGAAGGTGGATGTGGGTGGTGTTCGCAGTGTGTCACAGTTTAGGTCACCCAGAACAATCATCGGTGCACGTGGGTTGTAGAGATGATCGGCGGTATCTGTAAGAAGCTGCCAAACGCCCACAGTGTTGTTTGGGGGCCTGTAGACACAGGTCAGTGTAAGCTGGTCAGTTTTTGTGGTCTGCACCACAATGCACAAGACTTCAAGCTGGTTTGGATTTGGGAAGGTGATGGCAGTGACAGTGAGTGAGTGCCTGACATAAAAACATATTCCTCCACCTTGCTGGCTAGTCCTGTCAGATCTAAGTATTGAGTAGCCAGGTATTGCAACTAGGGCATCGCTTATAGTGCCATTGAGCCAAGTTTCAGTAATAGCTAATACATCTAGGTTAAAATTATGCAAAACGTGGTGAACTTCTTCAACTTTGTTCCTGAGGCTGCAAATGTTGAGGGTTCCTACATTAAGGCTAGTGTGGGTTAACTTACAAGTGTTTGGTGATGGAGGAGGGGAGAGTGGTGGCTGCACGTCTGTGGCTGTAGACCGGTTAGAAGCTGCCCTTGCGTCTGCGGATCCGCTTGAGGAGGTTTTCGACCTCTTTCGCACTGGCTTCGTTAGCCCGCGTGACCTGTGGGTCTGTGTCGTTGTTCTGGCATTCCGAGGTGGCACTGTTACCTGGGCGAAAGGAGTTCTTTCCCCTCTTCACTGGAGTAAAGCCATCGTCTTCAGTGTCCGGTGATGGGTGTGTGGTTTTCCCCCTAGAGGTGGCCAGAGCAGTCGTCAGCGTGACTGGGGGTGAAGGCGACCATGTTGGCGACTGGCGACGCTGCTGGCTTCACAGGGGGTCAAGCTTGTTTGCGGTACTGCGGCTGCAACCACCTCAGTGCTGGCAGGTGGTGCACGTGCGGTTGGACTTTTCAGGGCTTGACTGTACGTGTTTGGTGGTGGTACGGCTACAACTACCTCCGTGCTGGCAGACGGGCCTTGACTGCACGCCTCCCCAGCTGGTGGCGGTGTGCATGTCGTGGATGACTCAACTACCTCCGTGCTGGCAGACGGGCCTTGACTGCACGCCTCCCCAGCTGGTGGCGGTGTGCATGTCGTGGATGACTCAACTACCTCCGTGCTGGCAGACGGGCCTTGACTGCACGCCTCCCCAGCTGGTGGCGGTGTGCATGTCGTGGATGACTCTCGCCCTGTACGGGGTGGTGCACGTGCGTTTATGCCCTTATTTGGGCATTGTGCTGCGAGGTGGTCAGGGTTGTTGCACACATTGCAAGTACGCACCTGGCCATCGTAGCGTACGCGGACAGTCAGCCCGCCCTCGGTTTTTATGATGGACGGGATGTGGGTGCCCTTGTTTAGCTTGAAGGCCAAATGTCGTATACCCATAGCAACTCTCAAGCCAGATTTCGTGACAATGTGCCCATGCCGTACTCCCTGCGTGCCTACGCATGTCCCGTACCCCGCCAAACAATGAGATCTTGGTCAGAGACCCAGATTGGTGCATCCAAGATTCTGACTTCAACCAGGGGTGCCGTGAAAAAAGGGACAAGAATGGCGGTTCCATCCAACTCAATGCCGTGATCTGCCATGGCGATCGCACTCTCGTTGGACAGGAAAGTTACAATGCATCGACTATTTGCACTTATCTGTACCGATAGGAGGTCATCATAGCCGGAGGCCGCGATCGCCTCAGCCACATCCAAGATTTTGATGTTCCGGGGGCAGACAAACGTCACGGAGCTCTGCTTCAGCTGTTCAGCAGGCACATCTTTCCAGACCGGAAACGTTTCCTCGTTGTTCATTTCTTGATTCCTGATAGACTGGACTTATGACATAAAAAATTGGCAGGCAAAAAAACGATATTTGTTGCATATGTAGCAAAATAATTGTTATTGCTCTTGTTTCAAATCTTCATTCTCACAATAGTGTTGTTGTTGTTGTTGTTGTTGTTGTTGTTGTTGTTGTTGTTGCTGTTGTTGCTGTTGTTGCTGTTGTTGCTGTTGTTGCTGTTGTTGCTGTTGTTGCTGTTGTTGCTGTTGTTGCTGTTGTTGCTGTTGTTGCTGTTGTTGCTGTTGTTGCTGTTGTTGCTGTTGTTGCTGTTGTTGCTGTTGTTGCTGTTGTTGCTGTTGTTGTTGTTGTTGTTGTTGTTGTTGTTGTTGTTGTTGTTGTTGTTGTTGTTGTTGTTGCTGCTGCTGCTGCTGTTGCTGCTGTTGTTGTTGTTGTTGTTGTTGTTGTTGCTGTTGTTGCTGTTGCTGCTGCTCTTGTTGCTCTTGTTGCTCTTTTTCTTGGTGTGCAGATGCTGAAGATCCATTCAAGCTGACTGATGAGACACGCACATTGGGCCTGGTTGTGTGCAGAGGTACTGCTATTGTATTAGTATGTCCAGCTGATGGCATGGAGCCCATTGCCAATCCGTTTGTGCAGCAGGAAGGCTGATTGTTACATTGCGATCCTAATGGTGTGATTCGGCCGTCTTAGTTCTGCGTGCCACTGTAACTGAAGACTATCTTGATAGAGTCTCTGTTGAACCCTCGAGTACATTGAACTACCAGTTGCGTGGGCCAGCTCTTAGGGAGTTTTACTGGAAGGATATTCATTACTATATCTCCATGCTTTTGTGGAAGCTGCGGTGTACGGTGTGCTTTCTTCTTTTCATTGTCGCACCTCTCGTGTGCACTTTGATGTTATTGTCAGCTGTTGGTGTTTTCATACGGTTATTAGTCAGCTATTGGTGTCGTCACGCTGTTGCTACACTGTACATATATGCGTAGAATGATGGTCAGCTATTGCCTGTTTGACTCGATTGACTAATGCACGTTTGCGTGTGTTAGCCACTTATTTGGGATGGAGCGATGCGTTTGTGGACACGTCAACTTTTACTGGCATGGTACTTTTCCAGCTTTCTGATATCTGCCTGAGTGGAAGGAACACTTGACATTGCACAGTATTTTTATTCTACTTATTAGTTCAGCTCCACCCAGGTATCTCCTTTCAATTGTGACTGTGTCTAAGATCTGCCAACCAACTTTGTGATGTTGATTGGAAATTCTTGACCCTGTTATTGGCAGCTGTGCTACATACTACATGTACATGTGTGAGCATGTGCTTGTTATTAAGAATGGGGTCCTGAGAACTACATGTATATGATGCGCTTGCGCGGTACGGTTGGCTGATAATTATCACTTACATTGTGGAGCAAGCTCCAATGACTCACCCCCCCCCCCCCCCCCCCGAATGTTCGTCGCGGCCCACTGCACGCCAGCACGATCGCGACTGAACTGATGACGCCTGGCCACAATAATCCAAGTGCAGAATATGTTTTTGTAGTACAGTTGTCAGGTCCTGTGTTGCTTCAAGATATCATCCGAACTGCAGCTGATGATTCTTTTCAGTATTGTATGTTGGGGTTTCTCAGTTCTGGTGATTGGCCTGACTGGCCTCGTATCATTATAACTATCTGTCCATAATGTAAATAATAATTTGTACCTGTGAATAATTTGTACCGTACTGGCAATATATGTTGCCGCGTAACGCAGGGGGGTGCGGCGTAACGCGCGACCAAGCTAGTGCGACAAATTTTCGTTGCGTTCGTAACGCGCGTCCGGCGGGGTGCGGCGATCTTTTCATTGCAAAAAAGGCTGAAAACTGTGAAAGCACGTGTACCGCGTGGTGAAAAGTTCAAAACTGGACGCAGCAGGAAGTCCTGCAATAGCAAAAAAAGGACTGCGGCAATATAGAAACCTGTGTAACGGCTCCTGTGCGATTTTGCATGTAACGCCCTGCGTGCGGTAAACATGTGCCAATGTAACGCTTCATGGCCTCACTGCGACCATATATATTGCCAGTACGGTAATAAGGAATTTGGGTGGACACACCCATTCTCATAGCGCTGCACATCCGAATGCAGCGCTATGGGAATGAGTGTGTCCACCCGAATTCCTTATTTAATTTTCAGAGATGAACTTGCGGCTGCAGGAAGCCTCAGCCCTTCTTCACATGAATCATTTGTAGCTTTAATTATTATTTTTAAGTATCATATCAAGAGTACATAACTCTTCTGACTCTCTCAACAGCCTCTTTTACGGGCAAAAGCAACAATGATGAGAAACCAGGGTATTTGTTGTTTGTTTATTTAGAGTCGAAGAAAAGGTATGATAGGAAGATTATACGATAGTGCACGATATCAAGAGTCCATTAAGTACAGTCTGTTTATGCACTCAGTCTCTTGTCTTGACGATATCGATAGTGCACTATAAATTTTTATACAGGCTGGGTATTTTTGATTACGTGACGTCATGACCCTGACCCAAAAGAAACACATAAAAATGTATTTTTGTGCTGGAAAAATACTGGAAAAATACTGGAAAATAAAGTAGTTTCCGAGAAGTAAATTGTTAGCTAGAGTATTCCAGTATTAGTTATCCTGTGGGCCGGCCTGCGACGCCGATGTGTAAACACCGCTGACCGTATACGCGTAGGTACTTCACTGACTGACCTGTAGTATTGACACTTTACTTATCAAAAAGTGAGTTCCTCTCTCGTCGGTCACCTTCGAGTTGGTGCCTGAAACAGTCCTGCTGCAGTGTCTGAAGTCCCATCTTTCCAGGAAGAACCCACTTGCGAGGGACGGGTGTGGTCTAGAAAGCTCAGCTACTGGAGACCATATCATGTACTTGTCCTTGCCTCAAGCAGAGTGAAAAAACCAGGATAGTGTTTTGGATGCACATTATACAAAGAGAAAAGTGTTGTGCTATTAGTGGGCCGAACTCGTCACATGTTTCTGGAATACCTCGCTGTTTAACGGACAGTAGTAGCTTGCCGGCTGATTCTAGTCGCCGGTGCACCTGACTGGTGTGCTGCTATTCACCTGGCGTGGAGATTGTGGAAGCAAGATCGCGCTGACAGTGGAGTCAAGTACTTCGAAGTAGCAATATGGAGAATTATAGAAAGGGCTCTGGTGCTGAGCAGCGCCCTAATATCCAACTTGATAGCTTCAACTCTGATCTGAATTTCATAGTTCATGACTCTGGCTTGTCAGGTTCCTCTCACCGGGGTGCTGCCGGCTTTGGATATATGTGGGCGGGTGCTCGCGCTAACCGGGGTGCCAAGCGAGGTAGAGTGTGCTTTGAGGCAACTGTTACTAGCCATGTTGCAGTGAATATGGACGACACTCCGGAAGAATTGCAGCACTTGGCTAGATTTGGTTGGTCCGTACCATCGCTCAGCTATTGCTTGGGCGAGGAGAAGAAATCCTATGGGTATGGCGGCACTGGCAAGTCATCCGTCAACAAATCCTTTGCTGACTACGGTGAAAAGTTTGGCCTGAATGATACCATTACGTGCTACTTGGACATGGAAAGCTCACCGATCACCATTTCCTATGCCAAGAATGGGCGCTTTCTGGGAAAGGCCTCCAATGCGTCAGTCGGCAATGATGAAGCTTTGTTTCCTCATGTTCTTGTCAAGAATGTCGGCCTGCATGTCAACTTTGGCTCTTCGCCTCCCCGCTACCCAGTTGAAGAGGGATATTGCATGCTGGAGCACGCTGAAATGGGCTGGCTTGCACAGGGTCCTATTGCTCCAGTCAGCTTCAATGCCTGTACTGTCATGATGATGGTTGGCTTACCTGCTTCTGGCAAGACAACCTGGGCCAGGAAGTACCAGTCGGAACATGCAGACCAGCGCTACACCATTCTGGGTACAAATGACATCATGGAACAGATGCGTGTGAATAATCTTATGCGCAAGCGCAACTACCATGGGCGCTTTGACCAGCTCATGCAACTCGCCACTAAAGTGCACGGCAAGCTAATGGACATTTGCAAACATCGCAAGCGCAACTTCATCCTGGATCAGACGAATGTCTACAGCAGTGCACGCCAACGCAAGATCAACAACTTCCGACAGTTTGGAGAGCGCCAAGCCGTGGCACTTATTGTCACTGATGATGAGCTAGGTCGGAGAACCAGTCAACGTGAGCGCAAGGAAGGAAAGCTCGTTCCTGACTCCGCTGTAAAGGAAATGAAACGGAACTTTGTTCTGCCTACTCTGAAAGAAGGATTCACATCGGTTCTCTTTCCTGAAGAGCCAGAAGAAAGCGCACGGTCAATTGTGGCCAGCTATGCTAGTGCAAGTCTATCTAAGAATACTGCACAGAGTAGGAGTTCCGAAGGTACTGAGCCAGCTGCTAAGCGTCGCTTCTCAGGTAGCCAAGATGCTAGTGAAGCAGCTCAGCCTCCATCACTCCTTGGTGAGTATAAGCGAAACCATGCCCGTGGCTCTTTGGATCGTCCCGGTTTACTTGCCGATAGTAACTCGTCTGGACCCGAACGTCAGCCGCTTATGGATCGACCGCCACCAGGAGCACCTGCGGCAACGCACCCATCTGGTCACTATGAACGTGAGCAGCGTGGAAGCAGAGGTGCTGGCAGAAACAGACGCCATCGCGATGGAGGCGACCAAGGCGATCGCTATTCTCGTTACCGTACTGACTATGGCCATGGTCCTGGAGGTGATGGTGCCTTCTCATCACCTGCGGATAGGCCCGCCAGCCTTCTCAACAGAGCACATCCAGACGGGCCGCCGACTGGAGATCGTTCATCGCAATTCGATGCAGCTAGTGGTCATCAACACTTTCATAGGCCTGCTGGAGAGGATGATAGAACTGGTAACAAGATCAAACCTCTGTTGCCTGACAGACCATTGGCACCACCTGCATCTCGTGACTGGTCAGCAGATGGAGGTTCTGGCACTGGTAGAGGTTATTCAGCAGCGGTGGCTAGTCATTCATCCCATTCTACTGACTCTTATGCACAATCTGGACATGGTGCTTCTCCTGCGGGTCAGGTGTATAGTAACAGTCAAAGCGGGCAAGCAGCAAGTAGTATGGCAAGCAGTAGTCCGTACAGCCAGCAACAGTATCAACCACAGCAGCAAGCGTACAGCAATAACTATGGCTCCTATGGTAGTTCATTGCTGTCCGCACCATCACCGCACTTGCCTGACCAGCAAAGTAACACATACAGTGCGGATAACAGTGCCACTTCTTTTGTACACGCAGCCGCTGCTGCAGCTGCAGCTGCAGGTGTTGCCCAGTCTTCACAGGTACCAGCAGGGCATGTCACTGGGCAAGCATATTCACCTTACGGGAATCAGTACCCACAGCAGCAGCAACAGCAACAACCTGCTGCGACTAGCGGCATGCTTGCTCAGTATTCCTATGCGAGCACCCCTTATGGTGCTTCTCCAGCTGCTTACGCTGCAGCTCAGCAACAGCCACAGCAAATTCAGCAGCAACAACAACAACAACAGTATGTTGCTGCTTACAATCAAGCGTATGGTCAAGCGTATGGTCAGGCGTATGGCCAGTCAGCTCAACAGTCAACATATCAGACTGCTCCTGCTCAGGCTCCTGTTGCTGCCACCGTTGATCCCACTGCTGCTGCCGCCGCTGCCGCAGCAGCTGCAACTGCTGCACTTCCGTCAGCCTACGGGTCTTACTCCAACCAATACGCAACTGCACCAGCTCCGTACCCTGCGCCGCAGAGCCAGTACACCTACCAGTACTAATGTACGTTTGATGGATTGTATGTGCGTACCGGCGTGCTTGCATTATTATGTGTGTGCGTGCGTGTGTGTGTGTGTGTGTGTGTGTATGTGTGTGTGTGTGTGTGTGTGTGTGTGTGTGTGTGTGTGTGTGTGTGTGTATGTGTGCATTGTGCAGTGCTTGTACTATCCATGGCATCCTGGCTTCAGCTGCTCATGGCCGCCGTCTGTCAAATAGCACCATATGTCTATCAATACCACTGTGCCACTGCACCACTGGACCGTCCATTGTCCAGTAATGAACAGTATGCTTATTAGCATGCTGTGTATATTGTGTATAGCTGTAATTTTTGTTGACAAGCGTCTTTGAAACTATTATGTGCTGTGAATATTTTTGATCCTCTTCTCCTATGTTCCGCCTTTGGCCGTCACTGAGCAGCAGCAACAGCACCTGCAACGTCTTGTATGTATGCTAGGACACACACCTTTGCCACATACCCCCAGCCTGTATCTGTGCATCCACTTGCCAGACATCCTCTTTGTGTACTGTGTGAAATGCAAATAAATCCCCTCTTTTTTCCTGCAAAATTGTTACACCTTCGGCATGTACCTCGGGTGAAATTGCTCCTAACTTCTGTATGAAGAGACAGCACTGCACATTGTTCCATGCTAGTCTTGTGGCTGCTACAGCTGCCAGCCGAATCTGTAGACCTCATTCTTTTAGCAGGTTGTCAAGAAAGAAGGCATTGCTCTTTTGCAGTGCACTGAGTGAATACCGGTGCATTCTGGTGTGTGCGTGTGTGTGTGTGTGTGTGTGTGTGTGTGTGTGTGTGTGTGTGTGTGTGTGTGTGTGTGTGTGTGTGTGTCCCACATGGTGCAGTGGTATGTGCAGTCGATTTCCAATCGAGAGGTTGCGGGTTCAATTCCCGACGGTTATGGTCGCACACGTCTTTCTTCTCTTTCTCGGACTCTTCCTGACTTTTCTTTCATTCTCCTGGGTGGTTACCAACAGCCAGTGTATGCCGGAGTATGTGGTGTGGTGTATGTGTGTGTAGAAAAAAATGGAAAAATGAAAAATAGGGATTCACTGGCCATAAAAAGTCACTTCATTCAAACAGCTGTGTGGTGGATACTAGGCTAAAAATAGTGGCGGTCAATTCATCAGCCTTGCAAGCTGTTGAATGGTGTAATCCCAGCACAAGTTCCTATGTCTAACATAGCTGTTCGCTATCATCGCTTCCGCGATGGGCATGTCTGAGAGGTCTGAGGTGTGTGGTGTAGACCAGGTGTGCATTGGTGGTCGATTCACATGGCTTCGCCAGTTGTGTGGATTAGACAGTTATCTGGCGCAAGTCTTGATCTGTCTCATTCAGATCTTGTTCGCTATCGTTGCTATAAGAGAAAATCTGAGGGTGCACATCCAGTGCATTTGCAGATTTGCGTGCTTCTCTTGCAACGGGCGTATACATGGTACATGGTGTGTGTTTGTGTGCGTGTGTGTGTGTATGTGTTTGTGTGTGTATGTGTGTGTGTGTGTAGATATGTAACTGCATGTGTGTACTTGTGCTCTGTCCACTGTGTTCATTGTTCAGTCATGCTATGTGACCTCATCGGTCAACTTGCTGCCTAAACGTTACAGTGCATTGTACGGGCGATGTGCTGTGAAGCTTGGATATGAACACTCTCAGAGGCAAGCGATATACTACTTGTAACTTACTAAGCTACAGCCTACAGGCATCATTTTCGGTTGTTTTGCCGATCTTTGTGCATGGAACAAACATATTAGCAAGCAAGCCAAGCTAAACAGAATAGCAATATAATCACTTTCAGATCATTTTCATACAGATTAATGGCGAATTTAATTGGAGGGATTATTTAAAGCACAGTGGTCTGGATGGGTGAACAACCGTCTCCCATGCAACACTGCAATAATGATAATTATTGTCAACCCACCTTTTGTTAACATTTCTGTTGAGCAGATCAGAGTGTATCGATATTTGAATTGAAAATTGCATGAGAGCAGTGTGGATTACTTGACATGGGGTTGTTCCCCTACTACCGATAAAAAGTGACGGAATGGGAAAGTTTCCAAGGTGATTTGATCACGTGACGTTACTGGCACGCTACCAGCGGAAAAGTTTTACTGCCGCGGCTGCTGCGGCAGTAGAGCTTTTCCGGCAGTAAAAAGAGTGCTCAGGCTGGGAAAAAGGGAAAATCCCTTCTCAGTTCCGCGGTGAGAGGTGCAAAACTTACGTACCGGTAACGTTAGTTTATCGGTAGTGTGAATGTCCTTCACGGTTTATCACCTTTCACGGTTTGACGGGATTCACGGTAGTCTGAACGCGCCCTAAGCTCCAACCGAATTCTGCGATATCACGAATTTACAATAATTATTCATAAGTTCAAGGGACTTGAAACCAGGGAGGTATTGTACTACTCCCTGCTTGAAACTGGAAATGTCTAAAGAATGACCGCCACTACTAGGAGTGGAATGTAAAAACAATTGCACAAGAGAGATTGGAAGCTTTATCACAACTCTGAGTTTCACGTATTACTACGATCATCAGATCAGATCAGATTTTTTTGTGACAAAGCTTCCAATCTCCCTTGTGTACAAGGCTCTGCCCTACATGGGTATTGAGCACTCTTCGGACAGTGAAGCGCACCACTTGATTACGTACAAACAATTGTAAACATTGATGGTGTTCATGGTGCCCATCACTGAAGCGGTGATAGCGAACAAGCTATTTCAAAAGTAGCAACTTGTGCCTGGGATTACACCATTCAACAGCTTGCACGGCTGATGAGTTGATCGCCACAAGGTATTTAGCCTGGTCTCCACCACATCCACGTACACTCATACCTCAGTTATCTGGACGACGACGTTATGGGCACTTGCGTCTACCGAGGCACCCTTTGGCCAAGTTTCAGTGGAAATCTTACTACTCTTGTTGTCACTTTTTGCGGGAAATAGTGACGCCATATGCCATATCTATGGCCATTCCCCATAGACATGTATGTGATTCGGAGTTTATACGGACATTTCAAAGTTGTGGCAGTGCCCGGTACTGGACCGCCCGGATAAACAAGGTATGAGTGTACTCTTAGCAGCTGATTGAAGTGGCTTTTCTGAACACCCCCCCCCCCCCCCCCACACACACACAGTGACACATGCGCGTACCATGTGCATACCATACCATGTACATTGTATGCGCCCGTCGCAAGAGAAGCACGCATATCTGCAAATGCACTGGATGTGCACCCACAGATTTTCTCTGATACAGTAACGATAGCGGACAAGATCTGAATGAGACAGATCTTTTATTCAAGACTAGCGCCAGATAACTGTCCAATCCACACAACCCGCGAAGCCATAAAAATTATGAATGTGCATACATACACACCCACACAACTGTGGCTATGCAACTGATTATATCAAGAGTATAGTTATAACAGGGAGCTTCTTTACTCTTGATAGTATCGTGCTTGTCTAATCGCGTCCTGGACAAGATGTGAACAGGAGAATGTGTGATGATGTGAACAGTGCCACCATGTGAAGATGTCTTGGTGTAAGTTCGGAAGATGTGGAGATCATGTGACCGGGATCTGCAAAAGGTGAACATATGAAGATGCGTGGGCAGGTGAGGATGGGAAGAGGCGAAGGCACGGACATGACTGTTATCATGTGACTATGTGAATACATGTACTAGTACATGTATGTGACTATGTGACTCTGTGCAGATTTTTTTCATCATGAGACTGATATGAGAAGCTGAGAACTGAAAATCAGAGTGGAGATGTGAACATGGGAAGAGGTGGAGATTTTAACTTTGAAGTCTTGCACAAACCCTGCACCATTCAGTGAGGATGCCGTGAGGCCTGATGTGAAGTTGTGAACATCAGTACAGACAGTGCTGGTGAACATAGCGTTACTACAATCATGTACACATGCGAACATGCATGTACTTCGAAGTATTGTTAACGATATGTATGACCGCAATCATTTTTGAGATATCCAGAGCTGGGCAGAGGTGAAGATGGGAACATGCCGGCAACACTGATAAAGGCCTGGTGGGGTGAACTGAGATGTGAAGATGTGTGAGGATTTGAAGGGTTGAATGTGTGTGTAATATTATGGTATGTGAAGATGATGGAGATGTGAAGGTCTGAAGATGTGAAATGGTGAAAGTGTGAAGCCGATAGGAAGATGTGATTACATGTATGTGAAGATGGAAAGGTAGGGGATATGAAAATGTGAAGTTGGGAAGATGTGAAAATGGCAAGACCAGAAGATATGAGGCACCCACATCGTTTATTACATCTGTTTATAACCAGTAGGGGTATCACTTCATTATGGCTTTTATAAACTGTGTCATTCATGACATGCCTGCTGCAGGATTGGTGACATTGTTTTTCTACAGTATTTTTTATCTCTCCATGCTGATAGTATAGACCTGCATGGTGTTGCTGTCACCACGGGCTACACGTGTCGTCATGTACCGCTTCAGTGCCCGGCATTAATGCATTGGACAGTACTGCAGCTGTTCGCGGATGATCTGATCTTGACTCCCATTTTGGTTGATGATGGCAGTGTGAACACACACCCTGGATTGGTATGCATACTTCCAAGGCAAGAGTTCATGCCTGCCTATGCCTATGGCTATGGCCAGTCAGTGGTAAGTACGCTAGTAGACTCTACTATTCATGTAGCGTGTGATGTGTTCTGGGCGCAGGCATACTGATACAGTTCCAGTACAGCACTGTCATGGTGAATGTGTGCACGGACATGCGGAGTTCCACTGATCTCCCACCTGGCAAATGAAGTAGCCCCAGAGTCGTACTCACTCAGGCTTCATGTACATGTAGATCTGATCTTCAGAAATACAGGGCAGGACTGATTGTAGAAGGGGATGTCACTTGTCACAATGACAGCTCGGACACTTGACAGATCACCACCGCTGCATGCTGCATACAGTCATAAGCTTATGTAGTATGGTTATCAGCCATCACCCTGGGTCCCTGCATGCCATGGACATGACAACAGTCGACAGCCTAGCTAAGCCCCATGCACCATGCTAGGACATGTGACTGTATTACTAGAACTTTAGTGGCAGCAACTCTCGCCTGTCTTGGTAATGGTATGCTTCATATCATTGGCATTGCGCACATACATAGATCAGATCATCCACGTACTCAGACTAGTGCTGGTGCTGTATCGTTTACGCTACGGGGGGAGTACCAGCGCTGCAGCAGCAGCATTGCGGTTTGTGTTGCTGGGTTGACGTGGAGAGTTTGAAACATCCCATTGGCATGGCAGTTGACACCGCCTTGCCCCGCGCTCGCACACGGCGGCGTGGAGTATGAAATTGGAACTGATGACCTGAACGTCGGGCAGTGGTGACTGATGACCTGAACGTCGGGTAGTGGTGACTGATGCCAGTGATGGTGATAGTGATACCGTGATATCGATAGCGGACCAATGGTGGACATCGGTGGATGGGTTTGAAATACTCCTGATAACCGGCAACGGTAGCACCATGGCATGGACACGGCATGGAGGGATAGCGGTTTAGAACACAACACTACTAAGTTGCAGATCCACGGAGTATATCTACTACCTTAGTACCTAGGCTGTGTAGGCTAGTAGTGCAGGCTGCAGCATTTGTGACATGCATGTGTGAAGGGCAACATCACGCACACGGGGCGGTGTTCACTACGGTATCCGACAGCACGGTTCTTTGCGTGCACGGCTGCTATTTCGGATTTCCATCATTTGTCGAGGAGAAATTTTACAGCCCAATGAACAGTTAGAAAGTTCTTTTCACTTGCAGCATTGCTTTCTCGAACACTATTCTTCGAAGTAGCTAGGTGGAAAGTCCGGCTGCTTGCAAAGGCCCAGGTTGATTTTGATGCTGCCTAGAAGTGGTGGGTTCGAGACACTCCCTACCTGGGGCTGTACCCAGACTGTTACGCTGCTGCCCCGTTGCATTGCTGGGGCATTGTGATATTGACTATTGTTGTGAGTCAGTTTGCATTTGAAGGTGCGCTATTCTGCTGTTCTAGTACTGTCTGGGACGACCTGGCTGTAAACATTGTCTGCTTTGCACCCACACATTTGACCCGTCTCAGTCCAAACCCTCCCTCAGCGTCTTGGCACTTGTTACACACACCGGTTCGCGGTGCAACCTGCAAGCTGGTGCACCGGCGGTGCTTACCAACTCACTCAGCTCCGGCGGTGTTCCTGTGGAACTTCGGTCAAGTATAGTACTGACCGACGGTCATTTATTTAGTTTGTATCGGGACGTCATCCCGCGGGGCACGACCTGGCGAGGGTGAGGTCGTTGAAGCAGCGGTAGTGTTTCGGAGATGGAGGCGGATAGGAATGCACGCTGTCCAGCCCGCAAAGGTGGTTCGTGCTATTTTCAATGGAGAAACAAATTATCGGACGTTCGCTTCCTGCTTCTTCTGGTAGCTGTGGTGATCGAGCTGAGTATAGAGCCGTGCAGGGCAACTGGAATATTCCCGGTACAGACTGCCATCGCTACTGGTAGACCGGTGGTATTGAATGCTAGCTGTGCTTCTCAAGTCTTCTGCTCACACTCCTCTCCGCTATGGCAATCAACAGCACCAGGAACATGCATACAGCGACAGTGTAATGCCAGTTGTCCACATGGCTCGAGCATACCAGCAGCTATTGAGCTCTCCCTGCTACAACCAGGATTTGATACGTTTGCGTCGGCATTTGTCTTTCAAGATGTCTATGTACTGAGTCTGGGCTATCTTCGACTTCGGTCTCAGCACGCACCACGGCTGGATGCAGCAAATGGATTTACTGTCCAAATCAACTTAGTCAGCTTCCTGGGTGATGCGTAAGTTGTGTATCGGCGTGTATTCCTGCTCGGACAGATTATTTGCATCGCATGAAATTATTAACCGCGAAGTTTGGCTATGATGACACTCGAGCAGGAATTTACAAACATATCCTTGCTCGGCTACTGGGCCAATATCAAATGTAGACAGTCGAAGGGACACATGGATACGAGGTATGGGGACAGCTGTTCACCACTGTTAGGTAATATACGATCAGAAAGTCGGACAACTAGGCACCAAACTGACGGTGTACCGAAACATTCAAAGACGTGACACATAGCTCCAACACATCTCCAATGTGCAAACTGTGAACAACCTCTTTACCAGTGTTTGTGTCAAGTCACTACAGACTACAGCACACTAGTGTCCAACCCTGGCATAATCGAGAAACACTGTTGTGTGGGCGTTCATGATCCGGCTCAGTTTCTTGGCGATGGCGTTATACTGAAGCCTGGCTGTAGTATGAATTGTTGGTGTGTGTGTGTGTATGTGTATGTGTGTGTGTGTGTGTGTGTGTGTGTGTGTGTGTGTGTGTGTGTGTGTGTGTGTGTGTGTGTGTGTGTGTGTGTGTGTGTGTGTGTGTGTGTTGTCCAAAGACCTGAGTGCTTGAAAAATGTGACAAGGTCTGACTGCCAATCGTGTTTGTATGTAAAGACCGTACGGTAGTGCAGATAAAGGTCAGGATTCCAAACCAATCATCAGGAGACTGGGGTATACTCGGGGTTGTGTGCTCTTAGTCACTATTATATATCTTTTTTTCTTCATTTTTTAGTCAGACCTGGATAAGAAGAACTCCGGATAAGACAAACAACCTTGCTCAGTCCCTTGAAGTTCGTCCTAAAGACTTTGAGGTTTGACTGTATGTCCGGGAATTTACTCCCCACTCTATCAAGTGTCAATCATGTGTGACTGTCCAGTCAAGCCTGGTTTGAAGCATGTGTGAGATAATCGGACTTTCATGCATTTGCTGCAATACACCGATACATCCATCTATGCACGACAGGCATACTATGTGATCCGTGCTTCTAACCAGGCTTGGCTGGCCAGGCACAATGTGATAGTACGGCTGGCAGAGAGGAACAACATTCCGGGCATGTGCCGTGGAAGCCTGTAAAGTTCGGCAGTGTTATATCTCAGATACCGGTACTTCGAAATGCGACATGACTGATTTTTCCTGGTTTTCACAGTATACGTTATGCCACTGACCTATCTTTGTTTCCAACCTATACCTGTGACGTACTTCGATGTGAAATTGACCGGTCCATGAATATGGCTGATGAGAGTGACAGCACGAGTACCATGGGTATATGCGGGATATTCTTCTCCAGCATGGGGGTTTGTACGCAAAAGTGGATAGTCGTGTAAAGCATCCCTCTAAACGAGACACCACAGCATGTGATCAGCTGCAGCTTGTTTAACACCAACACAATACACCCCTATTATTGCCAATGACTGATCTTTAACTGACTTGCATGATGTGATGATGTGCTCCTGTATTGTTTGCAGGGAGGTGTTTCTATTTGAGAAGGTTTCCGCCGCCACCGACATGACGTTTTTCAGGGTTCGCCTTGCCTTCAGACAGAACCGTTTGTCTGGATCAATCAGTGTCGATTACATGGTGAATTCAACACATAGCATGACTGCTACTATGACCAATGTACAGAACCTACAAACTGTGGTCAAAGCGAGTCCGACTGATTTCACCATGTCAGTTCTTGGCCGACAGGTGCTGGTGTTCTTTGCAGGAACATTGCAGGCCGCCACTATGCTCAATGCTGTTGTTCAGGATGACACAGGTGATTTCTACATCGGCGGCCGCACCTCTCCAGGTACCAATTCTTCATACAACCTTGTTGTGTAGCATGGGGAAGAAGTTGAAGAATGTGTTGTGTAGCATAGGGTATGGTTGAAAAATTGTCTTTATGTGCAAAGTCTGAGCAATAGAAACACATTCTTCTACCAATTTTTCTTTGGATTGGACGAAATTATTGACCGATGAAATTTTCTGCCTGTACAGTAGTATGAGAGTGTGTGAATGTGCCTGGTGACTGTTTGGGGTTAAAAGGTCAGACTGCAATACCACGTGCATGGAGGGTGTGTGTGTGTGTGTGTGTGTGTGTGTCCCATGTGGTGCAGTGGTATGTGCAGCGATTTCCAATCGATAGGTTGCGGGTTCGATTCCCGACGATTATGGTCACACACGTCTTTCTTCTCTTTCTCAAACTCCTCCTGACTTTTCTTTCATTCTCCTGGATGGTTACCAACAGCCAGTGCATGCCGGCGTATGTGGTGTGATGTGTGTCCGGAAAAAATATGAAAAAGACCAAAAAGTAGGGATTCACTGGCCAGAAAAAAGCCACTTCATAGCTGTGTGGTGTAGACCAGGCTGAATAGTGGCGGTCAATTCTTCAGCCTTGCAAGCTGTTGAATGGTGCAATCCCAGCACAAGCTGCTATGGCTTCTGCTCTAGCATCGCTATCATCGCCTGTGGCGATGGGCGTCCAATGGTCCAATGGTCCAATGGTGTGTGTGTTGCGATTTAAAGTTGCTGATAGTCTTTGTCGCAGCGTCCATACCTGTTATAGTGCAATGCCTTGTGTACCATATATAACTCTAGTTTCCGTGTTATCTCTTCATGTGCGCTGTGGTTTGTTCGTCTTACCAGGTAGCAGTTTTGTGATGAGCCGCACAGTCAAGTTCTATAGCAGTGCTGTGAGTGAACGGTAAGTCGTTACGTAAGGCTTAAATTAAGTGCACTGCTATCCACGGTGTCAGTGGGTGTGGGACATTCCTCATCTTCATGATTGGGGATACCAATGCTAAGTCAGTTCCAGACTTGCAGTAAATCTTGGTGTATACTATAGAGCAGTGATGGAGGAATCAGCCTGACAGGCCAAGTGCTCTGCTATAGTGCTTCAACTGAAGTGCATTGATATATTATCATATAACTTGCAAGTTGTGTGCCTTGTGCACGATCTAGTGTATTTTCTGGTCCCTTTCAAGACTTAGAAGAGCTGCCACTATGACTGAACCTACTTAGTGTGTAGAAAGACTAGAATCATTTGGTGTACTGCAGATTTAGGTGAAACTGCATGACGCACTTTCAATAATGATCTGCTTCAAAATTCTGCATGGTGCAATGTCTTACACACACTATCTGATGCAGGGTGGCAATGATCCTTTCAGGCAAAACTCCACCAACCTATCAGCCATCAAGCCAATGCCATTGTCCCGCCACACATCCACAAGTTAGCACGTCCAACTCGTCGATTTGCGCCAACAGCTTTTTGACAAGTGCAGGGTCTGTGCTGCGCATCAATGCCGAGGTGTTTGTTCCTAGCAACATCAACGACGGAAGATTGTCCACTGCTGCTGTGACGGCACTGGGTCAGAATGTGGTACAGTTCACCATTGATCTGCAGGGCTCCTTTGAGGTGAGTTTCATGATGAATAGCATAGTCTCGCTACGCACTCGATGCTGCAGACTGTTGTATAGGTAATGAAGCCACACGAGTGCCACTACTGTTGTGGACATGGAAATCCGGTCGCACGTCTAGCGGCCCCCAGGGCGCTGGCCATGCAGCCGTGGCCAATCGGTGGATCTAAACATAGATCTACAGCATGACCTGTGCACTGCACGCAGCGTTCTGTACGCGCTGAGGGCGCCGGTCAATCGACTGGATTTCCATGTCCGCTACAGTAGAACCGCACTCACATTAATATGTATTTTTACTTTTTTTCTTCTTATTTTACTAGGGAATTCCCAACAGGCATCATCACCTTCTTACAGAGAACCCTATTAACCCTAATGATGAGTGCTGGTACTCTTTACTGTGTGTACTGTGTAATGCTTATTTGGCCTTTTCTGTGATGATGATTCTGTGTGTGTGTGTGTGTGTGTGTGTGTGTGTGTGTGTGTGTGTGTGCGTGCGTGCGCGCACCCGCATATGTGCACGTGTCTTCTGGATATTCTACTGTTACCCATGGCTTAGGTCTTCTACAGCGGAATCAGTTTCTGGAACCCAAGGGCTGGCGCTGCCGTGCTGCAACTGTCAGCTGACGGCGTAACCTACAAGGACATGCAGTATTTTGCAGAGAACTGCACTGCATCATTTGCATCACAGCCGATTGCTCAGAGAGCTAATGCCTCGCAAGTCAACTGCAAGTCCAGTGGCATGTAAGTATATAGTATGTATCACACTGGTTTCCCTTAAACACTTTCTTCATTCGCTCAGCTCCATTCCTTTAGACGTGTGTTTAGAATGTATTTGTAATTGAAGTACTGCATGGCGGACATTTTCTATCAATGCTCTTGGCATGTATGTCGCTCACTGTTTGGTACTGTAATCTGCCTACAGCCCTGCCCAACACATCTGGGAATATTATTTGGACAGGGAAACGGGTTCGCAGCCGCTGCTTGACTCTGGCGAATACCTAGCAAACATCGCACCATTCGCCACTGGCCGCTATGCTCGCATTCTGCTCACACAGTTTGGAGCAACACAGAGCTCATCATCGCGTGATCAATATTATGGTGTTACAGAATTCGACATTCGAGGACGGTAAGAAAACTATTGCATTTTTGTATTTTGAAGGGTAATGTTGCATTAATTTATGAATCACGTACCATCCAATGCCCTTTGAAAGTGAGGCGAGGGCCAGCTCCGCATGCAGAAGGAAACGCGACAGAGATTGGTAGAGAGGATAGATCGTTGTAAATAAGCGACGAGGCGACAGCAGCTTCAAAATTATGAACGAAAGAAGTAATTCCAGTATTGTCCATCACATTCTTGTGTCTCCGCATTGTTATCACATGTTTACAACGAGAGAGCTTGGAAGCTCAGGGCCCTACGCTATGCTTTTTTGCCTTGATGACCTAGACAAAAAAAAGCATAGGGATGTTATAAATTCTTTTTAAAAAATTCCTTTTTTTTAAGACATAACCTGGGATTCGAACCCGCACTATCGCGCCCTGCATGCATCCCCGATACACTTCGCATACATACTAATTCTTCCAAGTTGCTTCACATTATAATCTTGCATTTGAAAGCCCTATTTGAATATGCATTGTGGCCAGCCGTCTTTGATGGTACGGTACGGTAGGGATAGGTACGGGACAGGTACGATCGAGGGTAATACGACACCGTCTCCCGTACCGTACCATCAAAACACAGCTGGCCACATACAGCTGCCCGCAATATTCAAATAGGGCTTTCAAACGCAAGATCATAACGTGAAGCAACTTGGAAGAATGGGTATGAATGCGAAGTGTATGGGGGAATGCATGTAGGGCGATAGTGCGGGTTCGAATCCCAGGATATGCCTTAAAAAAAAATAGGAGAATTGAAAAATTTATAACATCCCTATGAATTTTTTGCCGTCAGATACGGGATAGCGCCAGGCGTGACACAAACAAACAAACAAACACACAAATACCAAACGAGAGAGCTTGGAAGCTCAGGGCCCTACGCTATGCTTTTATGCTTTTTTGCCTAGCTCATCGTACATGTTTTAAGAACTGATGGAAATGTCTTTTTCCGTTGATTGGCCACATCACTGCATTGCAAAAACGTTTCCACATTTCACGTCAAATTTGAAATCGATCGGTGTTTTTGCTCTCACATGCATCCATTGCTCAATCATGCATCATTTGCCCATAATTATGACAAACTTTGGCCTGCGATTTACTTTGGCCGGTTGGTACCAAGCGGCGAAATCAGCGAAATTAAATCGCCAGCGAAAATGAGTTGATTTTAAATACAGTAATCGGATTTTCTGGCCTTTTTGTAGTAACACATGTACATTGACCTGTTGAGCCAATGACGACGCCGAATGCATGGTTGCTTGTGGAGCACATTACATAACTTTACAGTCTCCTAAAATACGTATCCTGTCCGACGGCAAAAGAGGCTGCAGATTTAGTTTTTCTGCGCGTCGACGGGATGATTGCGACGCGAAAGTTCAGCTCGCGTTATTTGGCTCGCACGTCGAAAAATCAACGCGAGTGACCTGCTGCTCACGTCGAAAGTTGGACATTACATAACTTTACAGTCTCCTTAAATACGTATCCTGTCCGACGCCAAAGGAGGCTGCAGATTTAGTTTTTCTGCGCGTCGACGGGATGTCTGTCCTGACGTTTACTGGGACCGGCGCTGACTCTGCCGATCACGGGCGTTCTGGACTCGACAGGATGTCTGTCCTGACGTTTCCTGGGACCGGCTTAGACTCTGCCGATCACGGGCGTTCTGGACTCAACGAGATGTCTGTCCTGATGTTGCCTGGGACCGGCGGACTCTGCCGATCACGGGCGTTCTGGAGTCGACGGGATCTCTCTTCCGACGTTTCCTGTGACCGGCGCTGAATCGCTCGTTCACGCTTATTTTGGAGACGACGGGATCTCTCGTCCAAAGTATGTTTATGCTGACGCATCCTATCACCTATTCGGCGTCTATTCTAATTTAATTTCCTCCTCGTCTCCCTATTTCTTTCCAAATCTCCCTCTACATCAGGGAGTCGTATACATAATACGACGAATATTGGTACGGTACGGGACAGATACAGGAGCCCGCAAATATTGTGGACAGCTGTAATGTACAATCCTGTAGAGCCTTTGTAGTCACAGATACGGGACAGATACGGGACAGATACGGGATAGCTCCAGCCGTGACACAAACAAACAAACAAACAAACAAACAAACAAACACCAAATTAAAGCTGTGTGGACCCTGGCTAGCGCCAGACGTTACTGAAGTAACGTCTTCTGCATAGCTACGGGAATTAAAGCTGTGTGGACCCTGGCTAGCGCCAGACGTTACTGAAGTAACGTCTTCTGCATAGCTACGGGAATAAAGCCTTTACACATGTCGATTCAGCTCGTCCTTTTGTTCGCAATTTTGAGGACAGTTACTGCCGGTACATGTCCATTCTAATTGTCTGTTGTCTGTTGGTTGTTAAGTTGCTCGTGCTCAGGACATGCCGACACGTGTGTTCAATCACCAGCTGACAACCTCTACCGCTGCCAATGCCAATACAATACCGAGGGTGACAGTGTAAGTTAGCATATACTTAACTAGACTGTGTAGTGCATTGTGATCACTGCATGCTAGTCCATGGCTGTAGTGCATTGTGATCACTGCATGCTGGTCCATGGCTGTAGTGCATTGTGATCACTGCATGCTGGTCCATGGCTGTAGTGCATTGTGATCACTGCATGCTGGTCCATGGCTGTAGTGCATTGTGATCACTGCATGCTGGTCCATGGCTGTAATCAAGAGTACATAACCCCCCCAGAGTGTGCAACTCCCACATACCCTGTTGTCCCGACAGAATTTCAAGTTGACGTCATTATTTATGACGCAATGCTCCTTGCAGCAGTGATTTACAACATGTGTACGGGTGTCAACGCATCACACGTTTTTCTTTGCAATAATTTGTACAGGATCGATCGGCTTCGGTCAACCACAGGTTCCGGATTCGTCTGATAATCCGTGTACAGTGCGCATTGCATCATCAAAATGACGTCAACTTGAAATTCTGTCGGGACAGCACCCATAGTGGAGTTGCACACTCTGGGGGGTTATGTACTCTTGCTGTAGTGCATTGTGATCACTGCATGCTGGTCCATGGCTGTAGTGCATTGTGATCACTGCATGCTGGTCCATGGCTGTAGTGCATTGTGATCAGTGCATGCTAGTCCATGGCTGTAGTGCATTGTGATCAGTGCATGCTAGTCCATGGCTGTAGTGCATTATCATCGCTACATATCCTGATGAGCCTCGGAAACCAAGACCTTCTCAGTGTGTGATCTGATACTGTCTCAGGCAATGCATATCCTCTTCCATGGAAAACTTTGTAGGGCTGCAACGGGTAGGGATTTGGTCGGGTAACGGGTTCGGTTTTTTATATTCGGGTAGTGCGGGTACCCTATCGGGTATTTTTTGACACAGTTTGTAGTGTGAGTGTGCACTTGCGCTACATAGAAACTGTACAGTAAGTACGTAGCCGTGCTGGTTACATGCACCGTTGAAAAAACACCATACTCCAACTACCCGATCGGGTTCTCAGCAGCAAATTGCTACCCTACTACCCGATCAAATTACGGGTAGCACGGGTACCCTACTACTCGTTGACACGCCTAAAACTATGCAACAGGACAGTAAATTATCTTACTAAATGTTGCCCGGAACACTGTGGCATCTGGTGCTTGATCATGCTGTGGTTTCTATACCTCAGTTGTTTCAAGCATCAATACCAGGCCATCGTTTTGTTCAGTCGAGCTTCTCTGTTGCTAATGGAAGTACTCTAAGTCATGTCGGCATTTTAGGCCATCAGGTGCCGTGTCTCTCTGAAAGTAATAGCCCAGTTGTCCATGCTTTGCCTGCTGCAGTGTGAGAGGTGCCAATCGCTGTACAATGACAAACCCTGGAGAGCTGGTAACAGCACATCGCCCAATGCCTGTGCACAGTGCAACTGTCACCAGCATGCACTGACTTGCACGTACAACGCAACACTGGACACGCATCCGCACAGCAGAGTACTAGGAGGTGGCGGTGTCTGCGATTGCCAGGACAACACAGCTGGGCGTAACTGTGACCAGTGTGGCCGGGGTTATTATCGTGATGTAAGCAAAGCACTGACTGATCGCAGCGTTTGCTTACCATGCAATTGTCAGCTAGCTGGTATCACGGATGATGGTGATTGTGCTAAGGTAAGAACTTACTGATTCTCCAAGGCATGCATGCAATTTGCTTGGTCAACATGTCCCACCCATGCCCATTCCCTAGATTAATGTTCATCATCAGAAGCTACATGTAGTTGCCTGCTCTACACTTGAAATGTAGCTACAAAGAAATACTTTTCTGGGTATCCAATTGACTTCCTTTACAACAGCATGCATTGTGACTCGTGTAATTACACACCTGCAAGTGATTGTGTTTATGTTGATCATGTTCATTCATACGGTGCAGGCTGGACTAAACACAGGCCAGTGTAATTGCAAGCCGCACGTTACTGGACTGCGATGTGACCAATGCTCTACGACTGCGTATCTCAATACGACCAGTGGAGAGTGTCACGCGTGCAACTGCAACGCACAGGGCTCTGCTAACCTCAGCTGCTCAGCCGCCGGTGTGTGCAACTGCGTGCCGGGCTTTCAAGGCGACCGCTGTGACTCGTGCACAGCAACGCTGGCCTTGCCTGGCTGTGATGACTGCCAAGCTGGCTTCTACAACCTCTCAGTGGATACGGGCAGCTCGCCGCTGTGTGAGGCATGCCAGTGCTCCACACTGTCATCCGTTGATAATAGCTGTGATAGCAGCACTGGCCAGTGTAATTGTAGAGCTGGCTTTATTGGACGTGACTGTACGCAATGTGATCCACTGGCTGCCACACATGGACCAACGTGCAGTGTGTGTATTGATGGCTTCTATGGATTCAACGGCTCACAGTAAGTGACTCAGTGTTACTGTAGACTGGTTCGTGATAATGACTGGGATCAGCACAGCCTGTATCATAACTGTGTGCTACCATACACTAGTGCAAGGTCAATGGGAGTTGCAGCATGTCTGTGGTGAACGCAAATCACTCCTATCACAGCTTTGTTGCCATGCACTCCTTACACGTGTCATCTGTTAAAATCTGTTGACTCATGACGCGTCTATAAGCTGATGGCATTACAGTGACCACACGATCCCCCGACAAGTGTTGTGTGTATGCATGTTTCTCGGAATCCTACAGCTGTGCTGCATGCAGCTGTCATGCATCTGGTTCATCGTCATCCACTTGTGATAAGTCAAATGGCCAATGTACATGTCAGAATGGTTACACAGGACGCGATTGTTCGGTTTGTCATCCATCGCTGGGTACTGGTGGTAGCTTGTGCAACATGTGCCTGGATGGCTTCCATTCCTTCAACGGATCACAGTGAGTCACACAGCCACTGTGGACATTTATGCATGTGCGCGTTGTGAGTGCGCCTGTGCCGGGTGTGTACATGTGTGTGTGTGTTTGTTTGTTTGGGAGTGTGTATGTGTGTGGGGGGGGGGGGTGGTGAGAGGGGTGCATACGTGCACATGTGCCTGGGCAGGGGCATCACAGGGCAGTGGGGAGTGGTACGACCGGGAGTCGGGGGAGGGGGTTGTCCCCTGGGAGGAATCGGATTTTTCGGCCAACAGGGCACGTTTCAGCGCTCTACATGCGCTCTGGGCGGACCATCCTGGATGAAAAGTGGTATGACCATGGTCGTACCGTGTGTGACGTCCCTTCTAGGTGTCTGCATGTACTGTGAGAAGAGCATGCTGGTATTCAGTGGCAATTCTGAGGGTGTTCCTTGAGGTGCAAATGCCAATGACATCATCACTACAGTCACTCACTCAGATCACTAGTTTTAGACAATGGGTTGATTTACCATATTGTCCGGAGTATTAGCCCCACTGGAGTGTGTACGCCACACCCTGAGATTTTCTGAGAAATGTGATCTAGCATTTCAAACAAGCTATTTGTGGGTATATTGGATGGGAGGCTAATGTGACCACGTTTATGTATTTTTGCATGACCGTTTCTTATGCATGTGTCATGGTTGTTCATGTTGGTATTAATATTTTCACGTGTGTGTGTGTGTGTGTGTGTGTGTGTGTGTGTGTGTGTGTGTGTGTGTGTGTGTGTGTGTGTGTGTGTGTGTGTGTGTGTGTGTGTGTGTGTGTGTGTGTGTGTGTGTGTGTGGTGTTTCTAGCTGTGAACCCTGTGGCTGTGATGGCCGTGGTTCAACGTCCAACACTTGCAATAGCAACGGAACCTGCTTGTGTAAAGAACACGTCACTGGTGTCAAGTGTGAGCTGTGTAAGCTGAACACACTCGGTCTTAGTGCAGATAATCCCAGTGGATGTGCAGAAGGTATGTACACCAAACTCCACTTGCAGTGTGTGTAGTATGGCATGCACGGCAGTATGGCAGTGTGTGTAGTATGGTAGTGTGATGTATGCAGTATGGCATGCACTGCAGTGTGTAAGTATGTCAGTGTGTGCAGTATATCAGTGCCAGTGTGTATTATGATTGTGTTCTACTGTGATATTGGAAGTACCCTGTAAGCTAGCGTTTCCGTTTCTAAATGGCCCAGAGCCAGTAGTCCTGATAATGGGCAAGTTCCAAGCACTTAGTATGTTGATTTACTTTACCCGAAAAAGGAACACTTTCCTGTCATTGTAGGATTCTAAGTCAGATTTTGGGAGTGGGATGTGGCAGGAGTGTAGATAACACTGAAAGCCGAGGGCAACTTGGAACTACTGTAATAGTTTGCTGTTTTAGCACTCACACCGCTTTGCCGGGATGTGCAGATGATATGTTTTTGTGTGTGCTGTGCCTTTATTTCTACAGTGCCAGCTCCCAGTATCGGTTCCTTCCAAAGTACACAGCTGACTGTGTCGTGGTCAGCGCCTCTGTCTGGTACCATTTCATCCTACACTGTGTTTCTTGATCGCCCTAGTGGTGTACCAGTACGAGTGACAAGTGCAACACGGCCCGACTCTGTTCCTTACAGTGGCCTTACGCCGTACACTAACTATACATTCTTTGTGAGAGCATGTACAGCGACTGCCTGTGCACAGAGCAATTCGACAACAGAAAGAACACGTTCAGGAGGTAAGCAAACTTGCATTCAGTACTGCTGAGAACTGACTTGGTTGTCAGTATTGCAGTATTGCAGTATTGGTACCTGTATGTTTTGGCTTACCAAGATAGCTTGCACTCCATCTTCTCCTCCATTACTGGTGCATAGAACTCCTCTACTATTGATGCATGGAATTCCTCTACTACTGGTGCATGGAACTCCTCCACTACTCATGTAGGGAACAAACCACTAGTCTCTTTTCTTCTCTTCTTTTTGATGTGCTTTAGCCCCTGCTGGACAGCCTGCACCGGTGACTCTTGTTCGCAATGGCACGACAACAATTGGATGGGGCACGCCCAGTACAACCGGAGGCGGACCCTTGCTCTATACGCTGCGCGCTGCGGCTGTGGATTTCTCTGAGCCACCTCAGCGTGTTGTGCCCGGAGCAGCCTTTGAAGGATTAGGTTTCATGGAAATCCAGGCATCAACATTTGCTGGATCTGAGGCATCAATAATGATAACTTTCCAGACACTGTTGGCATCTGCTACTCTTTTCTTTGCCACAGACATCTTTGTTGCTAGCCGGACAGCTGTTCAGATTGTCAATGGTCAGGCACAGTTCTTGTTTGATTTTGGCAGTGGAGCTGCTGCAGTTATATCACCCAGTGCAGCATACAATGTCAGTGATGGACAGCCGCATACCATTGTTGCATCCCGTTCTGGTCTTGTTGGCATGATTAGTGTTGATGGGTCATTCAATGCTACGGGACAGCTGAATGGTGTTGCTGGCAGTGTGATGCCTGTTGCTACTCAAGTGTTTGTCGGTGGATTGCCAACCCAAGTATCCAGCTTGCTACCAACTCTGACCCCGTTTATCACATCACCTCTATCAGGTTGTGTTGGTGAGTTGAGCTTGCAAGGTGTACAGGTAAATCTTGACCAGTCAGCCACCAGAAGAGAGCGGGTTTTACCTACAATGTATGGATGTCCAGCTGTCATATCCCATGCCATGTATTTCCTAGGAACAGCGGGTGGGTATGTCATGGATAGTGAAAATCCTCTCCTGCACTCCGGTGGAACAAACTTTGACATTCAATTGTCATTCCGCACACTTCGCACTGATGGACTTCTCTTGTACTCTGGTGAAATTACCAGCGGCAAAGTTGCCGACTTCTTTGCAGTTCAGATTGTCAATGAGGAAGTGAGCTTTGTCTTTGACAATGGTGGTGGTCCTGTCAGTGTATCGACATCTCTGAAAGCAGCTTCCATCAGTGTTTGTGATGGACAATGGCATACTGTCATAATCTACAAGAATGCCCGTGTGGCAAACATCAGCGTTGACCAAGGCCCGTTCTTCTCCATTTCAGCACCAGATGCCAGGCTCAGTACAGATGTCACTGCGCCTGTGTATCTTGGCGGTGTACCGGATAGCTTGCTTGTGCCAAGTCAGATCTCGTCTCTTCGATACTACACTGGCTGTTTGCGGTCTGTGCGGATCAATTCCGTCCAGTACACACCGGACGTAGCTGTGTTTACACGACTTACTGGCTGCCCAATGTCGTCACCCACATCACAGTGCCTGGCATACAATGCAATGTTCTCCACCCGTAGGCCAGCAATACTGTATGTTGGTTCGGACATGCAGCAAACATTCCCATTGTCACTGCTTGGTCCTGCATCTGGTAAGCTCTTCACAACAGATCTACCTGGCTATAACACACTGTGTGTGATGCTTGTCAGATTCTCCCATCAGCCAGTCCCATGTGTTTCTTTGTATTTCGTTTTGTTGTTGTGAGCACCACAGTTTTAATCTACCATGGCCCACTGTGGTGTCTCTCTCTGTAGTACTAATGTTACTACTCTGCACTACTTCAGTATCTATGTATTGCGCATGCGCACAAGAGCTTCTTGTTCTTATTTTAGCCTGGTCTTCTTCCAAGGCTTTTTCCAATAACAATATTAAATGACTTGATGATGTTTGACCAATGGTTGGTACATAGCACCCACATATTACATTGTTTCCACGTGTTTCGAGTCATCCTGACAGCATTGGTAACTGATTGGCATTGGTTGGTTTGTGTATGATCCTGTATTATTGCTGTTGACAGAGTACTCAATGCAAGTATCTGTATCCACAGAGACTGGGTCAACAAGTAGTTCCTGGAACTTACTCCGTGCATCTGATGGAGGTAAGCTTTGAAGCTAATCTTTGCATGCTCTTGGTAAGAGAGTGTGTGGATGTGTTATTAGCTATTTGACCGTATGTTTGTACCTGCGGACTTTGAAGTTGAAATGGGCTTTTGCTGCCTTGCTGCTGGATGACTCAGCTTGCCTAGTTGAAAAAGGATGCGAGATGGAACAACTGCCCACCTCAGTACCGGTGGAAGCAGTTTGGGATTGGTCCAGTCATACCGTAGTCCTTCACGCATTGTGATTGTGCATGATATGGCGGGTGTACATGACCACCTCGAGTGTTGGTGGACAAAAACTTAGAACGGGTTGGTCGGGCTAGGGCTTGACCAACCGGACCGGTTCCCCGCCGGGCCCGTACCTAACTTACCATATTTCTTGGGGGGGGGGGGGATTGCCTGTTGCAAGGTATATTCACTAGTTTGAGGGAAAGACAGAGGTATATTTATGAATATTATCATGTGCGTGTGATCTTTGCATCACAGCTTATGTGGTTGCAGATAGCATAATGGTGTGTGTTCGTATGTGTACACTTTGCCTATTCCCAGCACCTGAGAACTTAATTTCTCCCAGCATCAGCTACACATCAGGACTGTCTGCCATAGTCACATGGTCTCCACCAGCTGTTGAGAATGGACTGCTGGCAGGCTATCGTTTGCTCGTGACTCAAATGCCAACGTTCGATAGCAGCAATGCACTGTTGCTTATGCCGTCAACTCGCACTATAACTGTGCCAGGGCAGACCCTCAGCTATTTGTTGGATGGACTTCTGGCATCTCGTGACCATGCAGTGCAGCTAGAGTCCTTCACTGCAGGTGGCTCGGTTTCCACGGGTTTTGTCAACTTCACTACTGACGAAGCAGGTACAGTTCTTACTCACAGGTTTTCTTTGGATGCGTCAACTGCTATTGCTGCTGTATACCTCTGTTTCTTGGTCATTACGTCTTGCTCACATTACTAAGAAAGTTGACTATCATTCTAGTGGTTATTTCTTTGTTGCTTTTACATAGGTAGCTGATGGTCACAGGTGGTACATGTATTTGAATGTCCCCCGGCTGTCCACTTCTGTATTGTGTGTACCCGTGTTTTGGCTGACCTATACCAGTTTGTTCATGTATGTTTGTGTGCAGCTCCGCTTGGTGTCATCAGTCCAGTTGCTGTCGCTGATCGACGTAACATTTCATTCACTTGGCAAGAACCTCAAGATCCCAGTGGACAGCTAACCGCATATTCATTGCTCATCGATGGTACTGCAGTGTTCACGTCGCCCAACGCATCACAGTATTCATACACAGTTACATCTTTATCACCTGTCACTACGTACAGTGCAGCTTTGCAGGTGTGTAACTCTGCTGGATGTAGTCTGAGTGATGCAGTGGACGCCACAACACTAGAAGATGCACCGGAAGGTCAAGCCGTACCTGCCCTGACTGCCGAATCAGAAACAACAATATCTGCCATGTGGCCGGAGCCATCACAACCCAATGGTGTTATCACTGCATATAACATTCTTCTCAATGCAACTCAGATTGCTTCGATTCCAGGCAATGCTACACGTCGGTTTATCATCACCGGTCTTCGTCCTGCAACAGTGTATGCAGTCAGTATCCGTGCCAATACCAAAGTCGGTGCTGACCTCTCATCCATATCCACTGTTAGCACGTTGGAACACGTTCCATCTGGCATTGAGGCAGCCATGCTGAATGTGACATCGGCACGGTCTATTCACTTGGAGTGGACGCCACCTTCAATTCCCAATGGTGTTATTGTGCAGTATGACGTTGAGAGGGATGGCATTCGCCAGCTGTTGAACCTCTCTGCTGCTAGTCTGTCTTACACAGACACAGCTCTCCAGCCGCACACAGTCTACTGGTACGCCATTGTAGCATGCACACGGCAAGGCTGTAGCACTGGCAATGCCAGTAATGCACGTACTGCAGAGGATCTACCACAGGGTGTCCAACCAGCGATGCTCACTACACTCAACTCATCCGCCGTGCAGATCGCCTGGTCACAGCCAAGCTCGCCGAACGGCATACTGACGTACTCTGTGTATCTGCACGGTGCACAGCTCGTGTCTGGTATGATTGTAGAACGCTTCCGACCACCTATCACCATGGCCGTGTCTCCACTGCTCATCAACGACCTCTTGCCGTATCAGCAATACTACTGCATAGTAGAAGCGAGCACATCAGCAGGGTCTGCAAACAGCACATTGAGTAACATTGCACAGACGGAGGAGTCCGGTAAGTTCACACAGTGGGTGGCAATGTGGAGATTTTTAAACTCATTAGCGTCCAAATACGATACTTGTGTACGGCTACGGCATCAGTGTCGTTACTACAATTTAGCTGAGCAGGCTGTGGACAGTAGATATTTACTACAATTTAGCTGAGCTGTGGACAGTAGATCATTTGAATGTAGCCAGTGCCTGCACAGTGCCTGCAACTGTTCAATAACATGTGACAAGACGGGCAGTGATCATAGTGTTCCTTCCTCTTTGCTCTAGAGGCAGTGCAGGACCGGCGGGGGCAGTTTTTGATTAGTCTGGCTATACCATACCATACCATAGCCTTTCACGCTTTGTTCATGATATAGCGGGGTACATATCCTCCTCAGTAGTACATTTGTGGTGGTGGCCAACAAGTTTGTCCGGTGATGGCCTAACCAACCAGACCGGTTTCGACGGGCCTGCAGTGTGCTGGTGTTCATGGCCATCACAGGCGTGTTTGCATGTCTCTTTCTTTTGGCCTGTTTCTGCTACATCTCGCTATTGCACCTAATGTTCTTAGCTGTAGACGGTCTGAGCAGTGGAATGTTTGATGCGAATCAAACCTACATGTTAGCGTTAATGCATACAAGTGTAAAGCAACCAAGGAAACCTGTTTAAATTGACATGGGCGGCCAATGTCAGATACTTATAAAAAAAAAGATTTATATTCACTTCCCACTGGTCTGCGGACACCGCCATGGACCACAACAGACACATGTAATTGGATCACGTGTTTTTGTTTTGTTGCGTTTGTTACAGCCCCGGACGGTGTGCTGCCTCCTGTTGTTGACACTGTCAACTCTACCTACCTGGTCATCAGCTGGCCAGAGCCTCGGTTTCCCAATGGCATTCTTGTCCAATATTCACTGTCACTAGTCCGAGCAAACACAGTGGATGCACCCACTGTAGTGACTGTCCCTGGTACTGACCTGAATACCACAGTGTCAACCCTGATGCCCTTCACACTCTATCAGTTACAGCTAACCGCGTTCACTAGTAGAGGAAGCACATCCAGTACCACCGTTCTGCAACGAACAGCTGAAGATGGTAAGCATAATGAACTATTTGGACTGATGGTGAAAAGTTCTTCTGTTGGTTATTGCACTTGCCAGCAATGTAGTTATGCTATTCATCAATGCAGTGCGGCCCATGTAATCTACTGAATTGACTGACCATGTCAGATACTTCTATGTCGTGTGGTTGATGGCTGTCACTCCTTTGCCTTTGGTATGCCATGCCAATGATGTACAGCTGCTTGTGCTTTTGCGGATGCCATCAATCTTGAATCAGATGCGTTTTGTACTACATTTGCATCAGCCCAATGTATCATTATTCAGCCCAATGTATCATTATTCAGCCCAATGTATCATTATTCAGCCCAATGTATCATTATTCAGCCCAATGTATCATTATTCAGCCCAATGTATCATTATTCAGCCCAATGTATCATTATTCAGCCCAATGTATCATTATTCAGCCCAATGTATCATTATTCAGCCCAATGTATCATTATTCAGCCCAATGTATCATTATTCTTTTGTCTGTGCACAGTGCCATCTGGTGTACCCCGTCCTAGCATTACCAATGTGACATCGTCGAGTTTCATGACCTCTTGGAGTCCACCTAGCTTACCGAACGGCATCATCATACGCTACTTGATCGTGACAATTGGCCCGGAGGGAACGCAGTCAGTGACTGTGGACGCAGCACAGACAGAGGTTACGCTAGCTGATGGTGCAGGTGTGTCGCTAGAGCCAGCCACAGCTTACGGTGTACACCTGGAGGCATGCACTGCAGCTGGATGTGGAATGTCTCAGCAGCAATCAGTTCAAATGGCAGAGGCAGGTATGTCCGGCTCCTGTGTTATTTGTCTAAGTATTGGAAACTGACGAAGTATTGCATGCCACAGTACTATTGCGACCTTAGTTGTAACTTCTGTGTCTTACGTGAGTAATGTTGCAACCTCTCTGTATCTGTATCTGTGTTTGTCTTTTATGTGATTGATGTTTACTACACAGCTCCCGAAGGTGTACAAGCACCTACTGTCACGTTCACCAACTCCTCATCAATAGAGTTCACGTGGAATGTGCCCAGCACCACCAATGGTATCATCACTGGCTATGCCGTGGAGATTCGTACATCTGCGGCGTCCCAGCTGGTCATATCGCTGAGCTTTGCCGGAGACCTATCTCCCTTGCGGGGTATCCTTAGCACTGGCCTAGTACCATCCACAATGTACACACTGCAGCTACTTGCTAGCACTGCTGCAGGCACGGGACAATCCACATTGGTTACAGCGCTTACCAGTGATGGAAGTAAGTCATAGAGTTATACAACTACATTGTAGTTTGTGTGTCATGGATTTGCACAGCTAGTCGGTGTACAGTCTATCATGGGGTTACACAGCTAGTTTGTATCATGGGGTTATACAACTAGTTTGTGTGCTAAACTGGGATATTGTGCCTTTGTTGTATATTAGCACACGAAGAGACAGAGCCAGTTGTAAGCCTGATGAGGTCTTTCATACCCGGTTTTGCTTTTCAAACCAGTGCATGATAATAATGTGACGGAGCACATGTCCCACCGGCCTGTGTAGTGTGTGTGATGGAGCACATGTCCCACCGGCTTGTGTAGTGGGACTAGTGCCACAGGAAGCGCGGGTTTCGAAGTCTGAAGAAAATGTTGAACAGTCTCTGCTGGTATTACAGTACACTATGGCTCTGTGGTGAGAGTATCGCTAGCCTCAAGTGAAGGAAGGTCCCTGGCTGGAAGGTCCCTGGCTGGAAGGTCCCTGGCTGGAAGGTCCCTGGCTGGAAGGTCCCTGGCTGGAAGGTCCCTGGCTGGAAGGTCCCTGGCTGGAAGGTCCCTGGCTGGAAGGTCCCTGGCTGGAAGGTCCCTGGCTGGAAGGTCCCTGGCTGGAAGGTCCCTGGCTGGAAGGTCCCTGGCTGGAAGGTCCCTGGCTGGAAGGTCCCTGGCTGGAAGGTCCCTGGCTGGAAGGTCCCTGGCTGGAAGGTCCCTGGCTGGAAGGTCCCTGGCTGGAAGGTCCCTGGCTGGAAGGTCCCTGGCTCGAGTCCTGTTGGTGACAGTAATTTTTTTCTGCAGACATTTCCCCTTTTCAACAGCCTCAACTAATGAACACAAGCACAACAATGTCAATTTAATTTAATTTACACAGCATTTTGGTGATGAAATGGTGATATGTGCAGTGTTGTGGAAGACAAAATGTTGCGCTGGGGCGAAACGTTATGAACAACCGGTGGCATTTGTTTGACAATGTCTTGCCTTCACCTTGATTTGCCCTGGAGCTTTGATTGGTGATATGATGTGGTGTGTGTATGAATGTATGTGTGTGTGTGTGCATGTGTGTGTGTGTGTGTGTGTGTGCACGTGTGTGTGTGTGTTTGTGTGTGTGTGTGTGTACGGATGTCTGCACGGACTTATACAGCTCCAACAGGTGTCAACCCACCTCAGGTGTCAGTAGTCAATTCCAGTGCAATCACTATATCCTGGCAGATACCAGTCACACCAAACGGCAAAATTCACAACTACACCGTTCTCAGGTATGCCCGGCTTATGCAGTCCATTCTGAGACAAATTCTGCCCAACAGTATTCTGGCATTCAGACACTGAGTTTGGGTGAATTGTGTTTCACATCCAGTGTAGCCGTCATTATTGCCACGGTCATGATTCTAAGATGCTAAAATCTAATAATAATGTTTGTAATGATTCAAGACATTACTGATGTAGATCTACAGATGTGGTGAATGTAAATTACCAATGTATGTGTGTGTACGCGCGTGTGTGCGTGTGTTGGTGTGTGCATGCGCAACATAAGACTGTGTGCACTGATTTCTTTCATGTTGCTCACCTTCAACTAGGGATGGAAGCCAGACTGTTGTTGTAGCTACTGCTCCTGGTTTCATTGTGGATGTCAGTCTTGAACCATTCACTGACTACACCTACAAAGTAAGTGTCGGCTAATGACCACACACCCAGACTGTCACCTCTTGTTTCACTTACTCTCTCTCTCTCTCTCTCTCTCTCTCTCTCTCTCTCTCTCACGTTAAAACATAGCCATGTGGACACATGCTTTCTCATGTTTGTGCATCACTACAAGTTACTTGGACTGAAATGCAGGGCAAAGTAGCTGAACTGGCTACTCAGCCTCCTCTAGTGTTGAACCAGGCTTACTCACCACCCAGCTATATGACTGTATGCCGCTGTGTGATTTGTTATCAATGCATTTACAGCTGGTGGTCTGTACGGCGTTTGCCTGTGGAAGTAGTGCCGAATCCCAAGACACAACAGCTGAAGCTGGTAAGCTTTAGTGACAGACACTAGTTGTGTCCGGTCAACGGAAGGGGATGGGGTGCTGAAGACTGGTGGAGAAGAGGCTCAGTCTGTGGTATGATTCCCCTGAGCGAGAAGAGGCTCAGTCTGTGGTATGATTCCCCTGAGCGAGAAGAGGCTCAGTCTGTGGTATGATTCCCCTGAGCGAGAAGAGGCTCAGTCTGTGGTATGATTCCCCTGAGCGAGAAGAGGCTCAGTCTGTGGTATGATTCCCCTGAGCGAGAAGAGGCTCAGTCTGTGGTATGATTCCCCTGAGCGAGAAGAGGCTCAGTCTGTGGTATGATTCCCCTGAACGAGAAGAGGCTCAGTCTGTGGTATGATTCCCTGAGCCGCACCCACACACCTACAGTGTTGGTGTTGACGAGTGTTACAGCCGATTGTCCCATGATAAATGCACAATCCACCATCACAAGTGCCCCCCCCCCCCTCCATTGGCATGCGGCATGCAGTGAGGTGTTCGGCCATCATGACTGTGTTCTGTGCAATCACGTCATGTTGCAATTGTCACTGTTGTCAAAAGGGACTATGACTTGTGTTTCTCCATACTGCACAAAGCTGAATGTCTGTCTATGACATCATGTAATAACATGTGTATTCGCACTGTATGCTTGCACCATGTGTGTTTGTGCGGCAGCTCCGATTGGCCTTGCTGCTCCTGTGGCCATGGCACTCAATACATCGTACATCACCATTACTTGGGGTAAGCTACATTATGTACCGTCATGGCACCCACTGATTTACCCATGTTACTGGAACTCACTGATTATGGCAGCACATGCACTTGTGTATACCTTCTCTGCTTGTTGCTACTGCTGCTGTTGCTTCTCTAGCTACAGCAGTTACTGCTGCTTCAGCCACTTCTGGCTGTCATCATACCAGCCGTCCGATCACAGCAGCCGATCATGCTAGTCGGCTGTCACATCTATACAGCCGATCATGGAGGACTACCCCTACTGTCTATACAGCATCATACTATTATTTTACTTCAAAATAGCATCCAATATTGTTTAGGTCTCACATGCATGGTTGGTATAATAATTATGATCACGCAACGTGTTAGTATGTCTATTGTCTGGCTTGTATACTGTACACACGTAGGTGTTATTGATGATCATGTATGAAACACTGTGACTTTCATCTGTGTCCCTGATGTCACTGCAGCACCGCCAAACATCACCAATGGCGTCATCCAAGCATACCGATTGCTTCGTTACAATGCAAATAACTGCTGCACGGGATCTGATCTTTCCAGTTGCCAGCTAGATAGGTAAGTGTTCAGTCTGCCGTCTGCAGTGTTCAGTGCACAGTACGTCATCTTGTGTTTAGCTGACACGTTATGCATATCCTAACAATGATCTTTCGAAGGTCGATGAAACTGGGTTAAAGGAGGTTTGTGCAGATCTGTTCATAATAATTATTGTGTTTGTGTTTGTGTTTTCGTTTTCCCCTGCTTAAAGCATTCTGGAAGGCTGTGTACGTTCAGAGACCACTGTAGTGTCATCCACACTCCAGCTCTCAACAGTTGACAGTGATGGGAACCTGGAGCCTTACACGCTGTATGCTTACCGACTACTAGCCAGCACTGGTGGAGGAAGCACGTCCAGTTCTTTTGGCATCACCCAGACACCAGAGGATGCTCCCGGTGGAGTCACAGCACCCAGTGTGCTGTCTACATCAGCACGCGCTGTAACAGTGCAATGGACTGCTCCGTCACAACCTAACGGCATTGTTGTCAGGTACGATGTATGGCGCAATGGATCAGCTGTGACCAGCCGTGTCTCTGCTGGTAGTGTGAACGATACTGGACTGTTACCAGCTACTACATACCAATACACTGTTTCCGTGTGCACATCAGCTGGCTGTAGTGAGGCGTCAACTATCATCACCACACTGGAGTCAGCTCCAGAGGGTGTGTTGGCACCATCCGTCACTGCCACATCAGCAATGAATATCTCAGTAGCATGGCTCGCACCAGCACAACCCAATGGTCTTCTAGTCAGCTATGAAGTGTACATCAACGATGAATCCAGTCCTCGTGTAACACTGCCTTCGACAACGCAAGCAACTGTACTGTCTAGCCTGCAGGCGTTCACCAGCTATCGTGTGAGCATCTCAGCTTGCACCGCAGTGGGCTGCACGGATAGTAATCATGCTAGTGTCACTACGCTAGAAGCAATACCTGCTGGTATGCTCTCTCCAGCACTAATGGTGCTGACTTCACGCTCCATTGATGTCATGTGGCAATCACCAACAATGGAGAATGGCATCATTCTGGGTTACACTGTCCACCGCAATGGTACTACCATTGCTGCTGTGAATAGCACAGGCAGGAGTTTCACCGATACAGGACTCCTGCCTCATACACTATACAGCTACACCGTGAGTGTTGGAAACTCAGCCGGCAGCGTATCTAGCCCTGCTAACGTGGCTACAACTGATCAAGACTCGCCAGAGGGACTGATTCCGCCGGTTGTCACAGCACACAACTCATCAGCGTTCAGTATCACTGTGTCACCTCCCAGCCAGCCCAATGGTGTCATTGTCAATTACTCTGTGATCGTTGACAATACAAGGACAGTAGCACTTGGAGTAACACCGTCCATAGTTCTTGCGGGCTTCCTGCCGTTCTCTCAGCATCAATTCCGTTCCAGAGCATGCACTCATAGCGGCTGTGGTATCAGTGTTGCTGTTTCGTCAAGAACTCTCGAAGCTCTTGCAAGTGGAATTCTTGCACCAAACATCTCCGCTCTCAACTCATCAGCTATAATCATGACATGGCAACCACCCCAGAATGCAAACGGCATTGTGACCCAATACTCTATAGTGCGCATTGCACCGGGACGACATGTCAATAGTACAGTGTATCAGCAGTCAGCAGCCCCACTCATCTCACCCTTATTCATTGACAATGGCTTGCTGCCATTTTCAAGTTATGGATATCGTCTGGGTGTTACGAATGGAGCCGGCACTGCCTTTGGTCCAGCGATGTATGAACAAACTGATGAAGCGGCACCGTTGTCAGCTGGCCTCACAATGACGGCTGTGCCTGATAAGACATCCGTATTCTTACAGTGGACTCCACCAACAACACCCAACGGCATTCTGACTTACTACCGGATAGATCAACGTTCTCAAACCAGTGGTAATATGAGTGGTGTAGGCGCCGTACCAGCATCACAGCAGACTAACTTCACCGTGATGGGTCTGCGGCCATACACCGACTATGAATTCCGAGTCACTGCAGTTAATGATGCTGGTGAGGCTTCCAGTCCATGGCAAACTATTCAAACCCTGCAGGATATCCCCCAGGGTGTCAGACCACTGCAAGTTGCTGGTAAAGCTGTTGATGGTCAGTCTGTGAACCTGACCTGGGATGAGCCACAATTCCCGAACGGTATGATTACAGACTACATGGTGCATGATGGCAGTGGAATTCTTGAGTACCAAGGAACTACGCGCTTCTTCATTCTGAGACGCTTGACGGCGTTCACGAGCTACTCGCTAATTCTCAGTGCCTGCACCAGTGTGGGATGTGCTACCAGTGCTTTACAGATGGTACAGACTGCTGAGATTGCCCCGGTATTGCAGGCACCACCCACGGTACAGGCATTGAGCTCATCAACCATGCAACTACAGTGGTCACCACCAGCCCAAGCCAACGGTATTATCATCAGCTATTCTGTCAGTCGTAAGCTGAGCTCAGCGACAGACTCCAGTGCGGTGCAAGTACTCTCAGTTGATGCTCAGAACGTCACAGTTCTGCAGTACACTGACACAGGACTGGAAGCGTACACTGCGTATAGCTATCAGGTAACGTCTGCAAACAGTGCCGATCAGGTATCCAGTGTATTCAGTAGCCCAGTCACTACGTCACCAGCAAACCCACAAGGTGTACCTGCACCTACTGTAACAACCATTGACTCCTTCTCTATTGATCTATCATGGACATCGCCCACTAAACCGAATGGAATCATATCCGGCTATAATGTAAACCGGGACGGATTCCCCATCACCACTCATATGCTCTCTGCAAGCACGTTCAACTATGTGGACAGCATCAGTCTCAAGCCATTCACCACACATACGTACAACATTGAAGCCTGTACTGTGGGAGCAAGTTGCACTGCCGGTCCGTCTGCAAACGGCACAACAGCACAGTCACAACCCGACTCGGTTAGTCTACCTAGCCTCTCTGCGTTGAGTTCATCCTCCATTCGCGTCAGCTGGGTGCCTCCTCTTGTACCGAATGGAATCATCTCGAGTTATGGTGTTTACTATGGCGAATGCTCCAAGGTGCTTGATAGCAGTATGATGGTGAGTGGTGATCAGCAACAGGTCACTTTGACTGCTTTGTCACCTTACACATGCTACAGTGTCCTCCTCGAGGCATGTACTGTAGCTGGATGCAGGAACAGCACATCAGTGGAGTCAGAGACTACCCTGGAGGCTGCACCACAGGGCCTTACAGCTGCCAGAGCCATTGTACTCGGTCAAGATCGCATTTTGCTGACGATCAATAGCCCAAGTCAGCCGAATGGCATGCTGGTCTCCTATGAGGTAGTACGTAATGGAACATCCATCACGTTCAACAATGACACAAGCAACGGGGCACTGCTACCAGCTTCCTACACTGACTCATCCCTATCCTCTGGTACTGCGTATGCCTACACTATTGTTTTATCTACTAATGGTGGTTGTAGCAATAGTCCAGTGGTTGTTGTGCAGACATTCCCACCAGTTCCAGAAGGTCTTGATGCACCCAGAATTAGTGTTGTGTCCAGCACAGCATTGCGTATAACATGGTCACAGCCTAACAACACATATGCCCCCATCAATCGCTATTCTGTATTTGTCAATGACACGGAAAGACATATGAACGATGGATCATCACTGACTACTCTTCTGTCAGGTCTCGCGGCGTTTAGTCTGTATGCAGTGCACATCAGTGCCTGCACGGCATTTGGTTGTGTTAGCAGTGATGCTAGCCTGGCATACACCCTTGAAGCTACTCCGACTGGCTTGGCTGCTCCGACGCTAACTGGAGTGACATCTCGCATACTTGCTGTTCAATGGACCAATCCTTCTCAGCCCAATGGCATTATCATTGGTTTCTATGTTGAACGTCGTCAACTGGACAGACTGAACCTTATACCTGGTATGTCTACAGTCATAGCCACCACTCAGCGTAATGACACAAGCTATGCCGACTCCAATGCAATGCCATTCTCAACGTACGAGTATCGTGTCACTGCGTACAACACCGCCGGCAATGTGACAAGTTCTTGGCAGCGATTCACCACTGCCGAAGATCTGCCGGAATCTGTAACCATTCCTGTGCTGCGGGAAGTAGAGGCAGACCGGGCCTTGTTGTTCCTGCCACAGCCAGAGCAGAGTAATGGAATAATCACGCAGTACGATGTGATTGTAAATGGCGTGCCAGAGTCAACCAACTACTCCTCGACTACATCACTGTATGAACTAAGAGATCTGACTCCTGGAGTCTTCTATACGATCAAGTCTAGTGTTTGCACCAGTGTCGGCTGCACCACTAGTCAGGCTAGTCTAAATGTGACTACACCGGAGATAGCTCCTGGTGACTTGGATGCACCCAGTGTGGAGAATATCTCCAGCACATCATTCTCAGCTATCTGGGCACCACCTGCTATGCCGAATGGCAACATACTGAGGTGAGACGGCGTACTGCTGTGTAGAGGCTGGTACAAAAGAGTAGCATCCGCCCTCATGTCCTAAATGATATTGATTGTTTCAGATTGTCATTTTCTTGATCTATCATCAGCATGTTCCAACACCCAATATTGACTTTATGGTGCATGGATGGTCCACCCCCCTCCCCCGGCCTTGATGTCACCGGGCACGTCTAATTATACAATATGCGTCTGAGATTTAGCCAGAACTTTAGCATGTGAACTGATATTGTATTGTTTTCAGTGATATCCAGGAGGCGCTAGTTCACAGACTTCCATATGGGGTAGATATTGACTTATGGGGCAGATACTGACTTATGGGGCAGATACTGACTTATGGGGCAGATAAGTTGGAGGAGGAGAAACCAGTGTTAGTCAATCAGTTATGCTTTATATGTACTTGTATGATAGCTCTAATCCTGGTCTACTCCCCTGCTGTGCTGTGTGTATGTGTGTGTGATGTCATGCAGGTACACACTCCATGTGATAAGAGCCTGCCCGCAACCAGGATCTCTGCCTGACAGTCCATGTGAAGTTGGAGATGAGTCCACGACTGTTCTAACTGCCGAGATCAACTACTACCAATTCGTATCACTGGCTAGATTCACCCGCTATCTTGTTCGTATATCCGCCACGAACAGCATGGGTACCGTGTTCAGCAATTACACCGATGCACTGACAGCAGAGAGTGGTAAGTAATGGGCCCCTCCCTCACCAGCACAGCCTAATAAACTGGCCTAGGACCTGTTTTATGGCAGTGATTGGACCCTCACCAAGGAGCATGCAAGGTGATAACATACGTCCGTTGTGCATGCTATGCCGGTGTGTTGATTATGACTGATTCTCATCCCCCGCGTTGCGGTGTGCAGACTATAAGTCCATCCAAGTTTGTGAGTGGACTGAGTATGCATGCAGAGGTGTCACACTACAAGCGTAGGGTCACGCTATGGATAGACGTAGAAATTGTCTTTTTTCTGCATCCCATGCATGCACAGCTCCGGAGCTTAGGGCACCAGGCAATATCTCGTATACAACTGTTGAAGACTCCATCATGCTACAGTGGACAAACTCTTTCATTTACAATAGCGATCGTTTCCAACAGTACACGGTAATCGAGAATGGAGAGGTTGTTACTGATGGTGTTATTGTAAATAACCGCACAACAACTCTGACGTTGGTCGGAAAGATGGCTGGTGTTGGTAAGCAAGTTTTGCATGACACACTGCCACTGTTCTTGTTTTGTGTGTGTGTGTGTGTGTGTGTGCGTGTGTGTGTGTGTGTGTGTGTGTGTGTGTGTGTGTTTGTGTGTACACGTGTCTGTGTGTATACCCTGATGTGCTTCCCTATCTGCATTCTTAACTTTAAACGATTGTAGACATGCACTTGCTATGAGCGCATAGTTACCAATTTGACAAGATTGTTGGCAGAATGAAGTGTTGCTCAAATGTACTTCAGCTTCATGTACTTCATATATTGAATATTCTTCCTACTACGATACTCAAAACTTCATGAGCAGTGGACACAGTGGTTATGTACTAGTAACACAAGACTGAAGACGCTGTCTACTTGAGCTGCATTCATTTGCTTATCCATTGTTGCTCATTGTTGAATGTCGTCTGTTACTTTCTCCTCCTTTGCCTTGCTAATGCTGTAGTGTATTTGTACACGGTAAGCTTGAGAACGGCAGTTGGAACAGTCACCACCAGACCAATCAATGCATCACTGCCTGGGGAACGTAAGTAGAGACCGTCTTTAATACAATCTTCATTATTCTACTTCTTTTTGAAGTACCAGTACAGCAGTGGCAAGCGAAGTCCGGTGCTTGCCATAGATGATAGCGCCACGTACGAATGGGCTTTCATACATGTCACGTGACTGTTGTCAGGCCGTTGCTAGCATTTGGCCAATCATAGCAGCAGCGTACCTGTCCCATACCCCTTAGGAATGACCCCAGGCATACTATGTACATGTACGCTAGTGCACCGCCACTGTACCAGACCCTGCCTTTGAAGGGCAGTGACCTGGTACGGTGGCAGTACTCCAGCGCACATAGAACACAAGGGATCATTCCCCATGGACACCACATGCACTTGCCCACTCCACACAAATTGAAAATACTTACATGCACCCTGCAGAAGAATTGCACTTTACTAGCAATGTCCGTTTAACACATGCACAGGCTGTGTATGCACCACACTCCATTATTCACCCCAGTTTCTGGAGATATGTGGATTTTGTAGAAAAAAAGAAAAAAATGCACGGCTGCAGGGGCTGCACACCGTATGGTGCAGTCCCTTATGGCAAGTGTCGGATTTCGCTTGACAGACTCTTGGTGAAGTGAATGACATCTAAATCCGGATACAGCCTGGAGCGTAAATCTTGATTGTGCGACAGGACACTGACTTTTGATATTGAATTCACCTGGCACATCTGTTCTCTTCTTGTTTTGGAACAGCCGTCATTGAGGAAGTCAAAGGCAATGAGTTCTACAAGGAGGCACCGTTCATTGTTGGCATGGTCATAGCCGGACTGTTTCTACTCATGATCTTAGTGTGTATTGCACATCGACCATCATCAGCGTCATCATCATCACAGAAGCCATCGGCACACACTGCACTCACCGATGGGCCAACAAGCTACTCGCCAAATAGAGAGCGTCCATCAACGCCGAATCGCCGAAGACGTAACAAGAAGACGGATGATCATCAGGACTTCTGGGCATCCAACACAGTTGCGGTGGGTGTTTCAAGTTATTATCTGGTTCTAATAGATTATTTCTACAAGTTCTCTAGTACTTCAGTACCGGCACTAAGTGGTGTAGACTAATCGGCCTTGGAAACTATTAGTGATGTGTGACTTGTTTTCTTAGTCCTGTATTGCTCGTGATGCCGGACTCCACGCATACCTACATGTGTACATGTGCAGCCTCTACTCTCGATATTATTTAAGTCACGCATTTGCAATAATCTGTGCGCATTTCCAACCAAACAGACTGTACTTGTGTGTATCCGTAGTGTATCCATGAGTCACACACTTGTCATGAGGCTTGCAGTTTGTCCCCGGGAGTGAGTTTGTGGCTTATCGAAATCGTGGGCTCAACATATGTGTGAGCACCCAAGTGAACTTTCAAGACTTGGATGGCAACGAATACATTGTTATTGGGTATTTTGTTCTCTTTGCCTTTCATTGTCTTTGTGGTACATCATGTTACCGCATACAGCTTCAACCACCGCCAAATCAGGATCCAGCAACAGTGAGATTAGTCAGCAAGCAACCAGTGCATGCTAGTGATCAAGAATGGGACGGAGGCTTCACAAACTTAGCGGTACGCTCACTATGTATCCAGCATAATTTTTTATTATTTCATTTAGGTCATGTTTACATTTTAAAAGAAATTATGCCTTAAGTTGGTTGGGAACAATCTATAAGAACTTAAAATAAGAAGTCAAGCAGGAAGTGTGCATTCCATGTAGGAGCAGCCAACTTCATGCGGTTAAAAAACGTCTCAAATTTGACTGGGAACGTTTAAAAAAACCCACGTTCCTAGTCATTTTGAGCCGGCATGAAAAAGATCATACAACATGTCTTGAATGCATCTCCGTAGAGGCATTGGCCAAAGATGCAAAAGTGCAAGCCAATTTACTCCCACGGTGTACTAATGACGTTGCCCCCTCTTTTCTGTGAATGGACCGCCTCTGAACTAACTGGATTGGTGCACAGTTCTAAGCACCATGTTTGCCGTCAGACGATCGGTATTGCTGCAGTTTAGTTACACAGGGATGTACTTGTCCTAATTTTAGGGGTTGGAACTTGGTACACCTTTGCCTTATGCAGCTTTATCTCCAGCTAAACATACACTTGTTGCCAAGCTGACTACCAGCACCCATAACATCTGCATGCGGCTTGGTCCTGATATGGATCTGAGAAAAATTATCGTGACTCAATTCCGGTGTTCACCGTGCGCTTGTCATACGAGTATGCTTACGTGCATATCCGATGTATGTGTTTGTACATGCTTGTATGCAAGTTCTTTAGCGTTGCGTGATGACCCGGCAGTGAGACCTTGCATGTAGCCCTGAACCCGGCAGTGAGACCTTGCATGTAGCCCTGAACCCGGCATGATTGATCCAAGTATGACCAGCCCCTGCACTGCCCACACAGGGAGTGCAAATGTGCTGATCTAAAAAGCGTGTAAATCTGTGACCGCCGGAGCTGTTCAAACCGTTTAAGACGTTTTCCTGTTTCTGTGCGTTGCATGCCATGACTGCGTTTCCTCTCCAGTCCTCCACCTCTAATCTCATGCGAGCACCATCAAAAGGATCTGTGCACGATGGATCTCTTTCTGGAGCACAGGACGGTATGGGAGGTTCATCAAATGACCTGTTGCGGAGAGCAAATACATACCGTGAATATGAAGGCTCCACACTCAAAGACACTCATCTTTAGAGGAGCATCTATGTGTATGCATGTACATGTATTATAAACTGGTGGGTTCAAACCCGTTGAGAGTGTAATGAGACTGAGCCTACTAGCGACAATGTCGCAGATCACCTCTTGTTGTCAGTTGTTGATTGATATTTCAGATGTTCTTTTGCCATCAGATATGTGATCTATACTTTTACAACTATCTCTACTATCGGCATTGCAGAAAAAGGGATGCGTGCATGCAGGTGTGTGCACATGCGGATATCTGAGTGCTTTGCAAAGCACAGTTCATTCCTGTACCTCTGCTAGTCTGCCACTTCGAACTGTTCGGCAAAGAGAGTACCGCTGCTAGATCACTGTGATCTCCTACTGCGAAATTAGAAACTGTACATTTTAGTTTTCAATCAAAGTTCTAGCTTCAATCATCACCTGGGTGGCATAGCTCGGAATGGCCACCGCCATGGCCATTTGCCACAATTCAGCCTAGCCGCATTGCCCAGGATACTGCTGATCATGCTCCTCCACCGAGTGCTGAGTAGTAACTTCTCAACTTGCCACTTTTCTGGACGCCTTGTATAGCCTTGATGAACACATATCCAGTACAGTACCTGTTTCCAAATGAGTACTAATATGTCACTGTATGCTAGCTTTGCCTTTGATTGCAAATACACTGTGTACATAATACACGTGTAACTGCAGATATTATTTTAGCCAAATAGACTTTTCTTGATTTCGATACTTTGACAGTCATCGGCTGTGCCATTGCAAGATGATGAGTGTATCAGTGGATGTGTACATGCTGGCATGCAGTGGGCATTTGCTAGTGTGTATGTGTGTCGTGTCCGCTATATCGGGGCTGTACAAGAACATCTCTGTATGTATACCATGGTATTCACCCTGTGCATTTGCGCGAGTCTCTTGTGGTGGGCACAAGGTACATGTATGTCTGTGTGTACGTGTGCCGTGTATGTATGTCTGTGTGTACGTGTGTGTATGTCTGTGTGTACGTGTGTGTATGATGTGGGTTACTACTTACATGTACAGTCAACTTCGCGTATAACGACACTCGGCGGGGCATCAGAAAAGTGTCGTTATTTGCGAAGTGTCGTTATACCCGAAGTCTCATTACCGGTATATGTATTACAATTGGATGGGACTTTGCTCTGGGCATGGAAATTCTGTCGTTATTCGCGAATTGTCGTTATGTCCGCAGTCGTTATTAGCGAATTGTCGTTATGTCCGCAGTCGTTATTGGCGAAGTTGACTGTACTAGTAAAAACAAGAGTGCATAAACTCTTGGTAAAAATTATAGAGGTTTATGCTCAGTATTAAAGTCAGTTGAGATCAGGGAGTCGTAAAATACGGTATTTTACGACTCCCTGGTTGAGATGCTGAGTGAGTCAGTTGGCGAAGTCGCGGACTCGCGGCACAGCGCCGCACTTGCACTAGCGACTCACGCTGCATACTACTACTAGTCTACTAGTACTAGAGCTCATTAGAAAATGCGCTTAGAAAATCCTCTAGCCGCGTTGTCGTCATGGTCGTTGCTACGGAGATATACACTACATGTGAGTCAGTGACGTAGTTGTACAATCTCACGATCAAGATCATGCGTCATTATCACGTCATCATCACTTGCAAGCACACGCGCGTACACCAGACACACCGGACACGTACACAGCAGTACAAAAAACAGTACCAAGACCAGGTCCAGGGACGTACGTGGCAAGAGATACATGTATGTAGATTCACAAAATACAAAAATTGTTGGAAGCTTGAAAGGGAAGCCAAGTTTGCCCATTTCTCGTAGCAATTTACAGCAACCTAGCATCGTCACGTCTGAAACGTAGCCTCCAATGTAGATCTATTTACTGTGGGTTTCCCTTGTGAAAAAGAATGGCTAGCTCCAAGCCTGAGAACAAACAAACTGAGGTATACATCGTTTGTCAACGATGCTGTCAGCCATTAGTTTTGCATCCCTCATTCCACACAGTTGAATCAGAAGAACTTCAACGCCTAGCAGGTATGTACTTTGTCGGGTTCAGTGCATTGACATGAGCAGTGTAATGGATAATACAACCTTGTCTACTGATTATCTCCAGCTCGATTGTAATACAGTTTACCTACAATGTAATTCATAAGTTTGAGGGAGTTGAGTGATAGGAAATCGATTTTGAACTATGTCATTGGCCAAGGCCAAGGTGTGTACATGTACCTGATACGATGACCATCACACAGTACTCCACAGCCACCGGTACAGACGTGTAGCACACCCTTTAGAGCTGTACTCCACAGGCACCGGTACAGACGTGTAGCACACCCTTTAGAGCTGTACTCCACAGGCACCGGTACAGACGTGTAGCACACCCTTTAGAGCTGGGCCGACCATTACAATACAGTGAAACCTCCGGGTTAGGAAGAACACTGATAAGACAAATGTTTGCTTAAGAAGAACTAGTACATGTATTCGTAACTTCATTGGATAAATCACTGTGTATTCACTGGGTATGCCATACGGATAAGAAGAACTCCCGTTATTGCAAACAAATATCATCAGTCCCTTGGTGTTCGTCCTAAAGAGGTTTGACTGTACTTAAAATATGCTACATGTTGTTGGCACATTGCTTTTGTACCAAGGGCTGTAGCCGGGTTTGTGCATGGTTACTCTGTATTTCACGGTTCATCTGACCAGCCTAGTAGTACATGTATAAGTCACACCGACTTTTTTGGGTGAATTATGAGTGTAAAACACGGTAATCTTTTTTTAAGAATCTGCTTCGACTCTGACTTGTGATGAAACAAATCTTGGGGTAATACAATGAACATGCAAAACCCAGTCGAGTATTTTACATCAAACGTGTGCACAAGTGTCCCCTTCCCTCCCAAGGCTGGCTGCTCCCCTTCCGTAAATCTGACTCCACTGTTGCCATTTGACCATTGGACAGTGTATAGAAATAAATACCATGTACACGTACACGTAGCTTGGTAGGTGTACTACATGTACTAGTTCGGTGTACGTTTGCATTGATAACTGTTATTTCCGCTATACAGTCGACTCCACTTATAACGAACTCGTATATAGCGAATTTCGTGATATAGCGAACCCTTGTCCCTGTCCCTGTTTGAACCCATACAAAATTGACAGTTTATAGCGAACAGTTTTCGTTTATAACAACCGAATCTTGTAGAGCCTCATGTAAACCGAATGCACTCATACTGTCATGGGTCCCTTGCCAGCATAACTTGCTGCTTGTATAGTGTGAGTGTATTTCTGTTATAACGAACTTCAGCTAAAAACTTAGTATAAAGAACTAATTCTCCTGCACAATGGTGTTCATTATATCAGAAGTCGACTACTGTATGTGTGTGATTTGTATGCAGCACCCCTTGTTCCTGAAGAAGAAGCTGCAAGCTTTACCGGTGAATCTTCTGCACGGGTAAGAGCATGACAGATTTAGAAGTTGGCTGACAAGAGGGAGAGAGAGAGAGAGAGAGAGAGAGAGAGAGAGAGAGAGAGAGAGAGAGAGACAGCTGTGTTGCAACTCCGAGTTTCACGTAGCCGTGATCATCAGGCAACTGCCCCCTCTCTCTCACTCTCTCTCTTTCTCTCTCTCTCTCTCTCTCTCTCTCTCTCCCTTTCTCTCTCTCTCTCTCTCTCTCTCTCTCTCTCTCTCTCTCTCTCTCTCTCTCTCTCTCTCTCTCTCTCTCTCTCTCTCTCTCTCTCTCTCTCTCTCTCTCTCTCCTCTCTCTCTCTCTCTCTCTCTCTCTCTCTCTTCTCTCTCTCTTGCTCTCTCTCTCTCTCTCTTGCTCTCTCTCTCTCTCTCTCTCTCTCTCTCTCTCTCTCTCTCTCTCTCTCTCTCTCTCTCTCTCTCTCTCTCTCTCTCTCTCTCTCTCTCTCTCTCTCTTTCTCTCTCTCTCTCTCTCTCTCTCTCTCTCTCTCTCTCTCTCTCTCTCTCTCTCTCTCTCTCTCTCTCTCTCTCTCTCTCTCTCTCTCTCTCTCTCTCTCTCTCTCTTGTGTGGAAGGCTCTGCCCTATGTGGACATTGAGCACTCTTTGAGAAGTGGGAGCACACTACTTGATTACGTAGAAGTTGCCTGACGATTGCCATGGACATGAACCTCTGAATTGCAACGAATCCCGAGTAGTTTCTTGTCCCCTACTAGTATGTAGCAAGCAAGCTACCGTAAAAGTCCGTAAATAAGTACCTGCCCGAAAGAAATACCCCCTTCATTCTTTTGGCTCTGTCTGTTGAAGTCAAGTCGAGCCCGATAAACATACTGCCCGAAATAAGTACCGGTACGGTGCGCACATGCAGCACGTAGCATGTACATCGACATGAAAATGACTTCTCCACTACACACAAGTCAGGTCCGAAAGTTAGTTCGTGCCCGAAAGTCAGTACCCGCCCGAAAGTTAGTACGGGTGTGGTCACTAAATTCGAAAGTAAATACGTACTTATTTACGGACTTTTACGGTATGTGTCCAGTGCACTGTGCACTGTACAAGCAGTTATTTCCTACTTTTCTTTTCTTGACACAATATTGTGTTATTGTGTATGCATGGGTACATGTATGCATTGAGATCCGTTTCGGAGTTTATTTCTGTAACGGCCTCTAACAAGGGTATACACGAGCAGTATTCTCCAACGTGTGGACATGTGCTCCTGGAAGGCACCTATCACACTACACCATACCCGTGTGCACTTGTAGGCATTCATGTTCTCTCTATGCTGTGTGTGTGCTTGCGTGCGTGCGCGCACGCGCGCGCGCGTGCGTGTGTGTGTGTGTGGTGTGTGTGTGTGTGTTACAGCAGCCACAAGCAGGGGCGGCAGCAGCAACATCCAGTGATGGTGTCATTCGCCGCAATGTCTCAAGAATGAAGTAGGTTTTTTAAAGTTCAATGTTAGATTAGACAGGTGTTGTCTACTACTGAAGGCCAGGGTATTTTCTAGCCCAGTAGCTGTATTCCACCATTCGTCACCCATGCCTTCGTGTGACTGATCCTGGTGGAATGAACGATTTGAGTCAATGTTGCTGCATTTCCTGTTTGCTCCGAGTGGGGGCGGTTGTCCTATAGAACAGGAGCCAGTTCCTGAAGTGGAAATGAAGATCCAGAAGCATCTATTTGTTCTTTCTGAGTTTTGTGTGGTTGTGCACGTGACGTATGACGTAAGCGGGAGCTGGCTAGTGCAGGGTGTGGTTTACTTGAAAGC